TGTTGCGATGAAATTGTAGGAAATGCCTCTGCCTAGTCTTATATTATAAAGACGCTCATTTTCCTTGCGCTTGAAGATAAGGAGAAAATTTTCCTTAGAGAATAGATATTTACTCGTATTTTTGTACTCAAGAACCGCTTGCTAAAGAACATTGAGGTCAAAATTCACCCAGATAGCTGTATAACGTTTGCGCATGCGGTAGACTCTGGCGCGGAAAACGGATTTTGAGTCCTTTGCAAGTTAGATTTTCTATCCTTTAACTTCTCGGCGTTGTTTCCCTTCCGCTTTTCTTTGACAGAACAACTTCCTTTGTACACCCCCTAAATATTTTCAAAATTTAATATTTTTCCTAAGAACACTGGAAATAGGAAAATGCCTTCAACGACAACAAAATGCCTTGGTTTTAAATTTAATTTAAAATAAAAATGATAACTTGATAGATGCTGAGCTGTCATTTTGTTCTTGAAAAGTGTGAAAGGTCAACAAAAATCAAATAGTTTACACAATTTCTCTTCCTCAGGCTTAACTCCCATGATTACCTATCGTTGATAGAGGCTTCGCCTAATTAAAGGTTCAGTTGGAAGTGTTCTTCTACTACGACGAGTTTTTTCCATCAATGAACATATAGAATTTGCCAAGCCTAAAAGCGGGACTCCAGTCAGTTTGTTTTTGAGCCCTTCACCTTATTTGAACTCCTAAGCGCTGGTTATTAAAAGGTTAATGGGATGTGGAACAGAGAGAAGATATTCTCACAACTTGCATAGCAATTGACACGCTTGCTGGTCTTTTCAAGTACGCTTTCTAGTCTTTTCGCTTGCTAGTCTTTTCGAGATTAACACGCTTGCTAGTATTTTCGATGATTGAACGGATTGTCCAGGATAAATGACATTTTATTGCGCGTGATTGTTAATTTTGGTCTAGACTGAATGAAACGACGTTAAATGACCTCGAGTTAAGATCTGGATATCATCGGGTGATTGAAGGGTTTACAAGCGAGATCAGTAGTCTGTTACACAACACGTCAGAATCGTATTATATATTCTCTCGATGCGCCATTTATGACTGTTTACTCCACCGATTGTTCTCTAACGTGTCAAACTCCTCTGACAAGCTTAGAAAATTAAAAAGAAAAGACACTCTTCAACTGGTGTTAAAGTTGAAATTCTCCTCTTTCAACTGCTCTTGCTGGAAGTACCTCTGCTGTAACTGCATATATCAATGTCTTTAATCCAACTTTAAACCTGAAAACTCTAGCCACTAAACTTTAAGAATTTGTTCATGCTTAGTGTGCGTATATCGAATTATGGATGCACGCGGGAAGTTTGGAGAGCACGAAAAATGCGTAAGAGTAGCTTGAGGCGCAGCCGAGAGCAAGTCTAGCTTTTTGAGTGCTCTCCAAACTTCCCAAGTACATCCGTTACTCGATATACGCACAGCTTAAAGCATGAGCAAATTATTTTATAACAGAGCGACAATAAGGATCTGCGCGAAGAAGCCTTTTATTGTGTTAGAGTGCAAAATTCTCACAAAGCACAAAAAAAGTAAACAAACGTCCCTATTGGCTGGTCAAAAACACGCCGCATTTTATACTTTGGTTTGAGCGAGAACATTTGATCCAGTTAACCGGTAACTGTGAATGAAAAGCTCACGGGGAAAATGGAGAAAATCAAACCCAAATGAACTCAAGTGCAGCTGGTCTTTCGACAAATTTGTGAAACGTGCAACTTGCGAGTTTTTTTTCGGCTTTGTTTTTGTTGCTCGTTGGATCAGGACCTAAAAAGTCAATGCCGATAGAAAAATTGGGCAATTCATCGCTGGTTTCTTCCATAATTCGAAGATAAGGAAAACTGCATCACAGATTAACAGGACGGGAACTCAGAAGCCAGGTAAAAAAAAAACTGCTTACGTCATCTTATTTACGCACGGGCGTGCGTAAATAAAGATTTTGTTCATAGCGGCTCAATAGAACTTATACAGGGCAAGCATGCGCGCATGTTATACACTAAATTTGTCTATCACATTGCGTTTGCGTTGCGAAAGTTTGATTTTAACGAAGACATGCTAAAACTAGAATGTCTTTGTACATTGACAGAAATTGATCCATAAATCTATCAAGTTTTATATTTCGTTTTGAAGGGCACAGGGCAGGGAAAAAACTCCATGTAATGCTGGAGCACTTCTTCGGCCACTAGGGCCAAAGCCTGAAAGAAAATGGCAAAAAAACCATACTCATTATGAACCAAACATTCACATTTTAAGACGCTTCTAAATGAACTTGAACGCATGTTGCACACTTGTGAAGGAAAAATTATCGAAGAAAAATAATCCCTTGAGAAATTTCTGGTCACTTCCAAAGGCAAATATTTACTTTAAACGATTATTTAGCTCAAAAGTAATTAAAAATCAGATTTTAGACTTGCCAATAGAGAAAAAATAAGATATTTAAGAATCACCTTCAATAACTCAAATAACCTGAACGGCTGAATTAAAAAATCAGCAAAATTTATCAACGAATTCAATCTTGCAGCACAATAGCCTGTTTGTACACATAAATTGCAGCAGTTGATGCTCTAAAATTGGCGTCAAGCATGCGTCGTTTTGAACTTGATTAGAATTTTTGATATATTTTCATATTTTTGACAACTCCTTCCACTCACAAGCGGGATTAAATATCTCTGAAACCATGCTTATCATCTGGAATAATCGTCCTTAAATTCATGTCAACGAGCTTTATCAGCGGCACGGTAAATACCCACCGCCAGCCACCGACACTGAGGTGAATAATTTTTTTAGTATAGACTAAAACAGTGAGATAATAGAACAAAAAAAGAGGATTTCAACTTATTTATTCCTGCAACGATTACAATTGATGCTCAGTGGATTGCTCAATGGATGCTCGGTTCAGATCGATTCTCAGTGAATTCCTCGCGAAGCCAATCTCAGAGCCAATCTTCTCAGTCGTTTCGTCGATAAGGATGACTAGTCCTTGAATCCGGAGGTTTTCTCCCAATTGGATTGCAAATGGGGTCCGCATCCCATTGACCGTTTTGCGTCTAACTTCAATGCTCAGGCTCCAAGATTTAATTCTAAGTTCATGTCTCCGGGCTGTAGCGTCATTGATGCCTTTTCCATGGATTGGCGAGGCGAAAATAATTGGCTTTGTCTTCCTGTTTCCTTTGTTGTGGACGTGATTAAACGCGCGCGCGAGTGCCGCTCAGTTGGTACTCTCATCGTCCCTGAATGGCCGTCTGCGTTCTTGTGGCCTTTGTTAAAGCCTTTTCCTCCCGAGTTTGCCTGTTTTGTTGTGGACGTTGTTTCTTTACCAGTGAGGTCTGATTTTATAACTCACGGGCCAGGTCAGAAGGTCTGTTAACCATGTGTTTTGCTGTGGTTACCGGGCTGTGTCCTTGTGAAGCAACTTTTTCCTACGTGGTCACGATATACAGGCATTTAGGCCGCGGAGCTTCATTGTAGCCAGTGTTTTAGTTATTTCTATGCAGTTCGTTTAATTGCTTTTAATTTGAGCTAACTCTTGTTGGCTGGGTGTTTTTTTTTTCTGACTTTGTTTTGATTCTTTGTTTTATCTGGTTAGATCTTTTGCGGTTCAGGGATTTCGCGAAGAGTATCGACGATCCGTCGCTTCAGCCCTTAGTTCCACGTTTGCTTGATCTTTTGCTGAAGTTCAATGCAGCTAACACAGCTCAGAGGTACAACTTTGGTTGCTAGAGATGGAAGGCTTGGGCTCGTTCAAAGCTTGGTGTTCCTGTGCTTCCGGCAATTCCACTACAAGTTGCTCTTTATTTGACGGGGCTCGTGGACCGCGCTATCCAGTAGGGCCATTCTGTTTCAGTTATTGAGTCCGCTACCTACATTATCCGCTGGGGACATCGGTTACCTGATTTTGAGCCTCCGAAAGAACATCCACTGTTGATGGACGTTGCTGAGAGCGCGCGGAGGAAGGTGGCGAGGCCTGTTCAGTCCAAGCAGTCCACAATGTGATCGCTCATATTACTTTGATTTTGAACACTACTTCTCAGTGCTTCCTTAGCGGACACTCGTTTTTTGTTTATCCTTTTGGTTGGATATGCTGATGTTTTTCGTATTACCAAAATTTTGAGTCTTAGGGTGAAAGATATAATTATCTTAGACGATTTCATGAAAATTAGTTTGATTAAGCGTAAGAATGATCAGTACAGAAACGGCCATATTTCAGTTTTAGCAATGTCTCGCAAGCCTATATATACGTGCCCAGTAGGGATTACTGAAGATTTTTTTCTTTGTTCCCCGATACCAATAGCTCCTGTCATCAAGTTGTTCGCAGGATTGTTCAATCTAAATTCTCCAAGAAATTCCATAAGTCCTTAGGAATGAGTAACTCAACTGCCTTAAGTAACTTTACTTATATTTCTCCGCTCGCATGTATGGCGCCAATAGCATTAGAATTAGTGGAGCTAACGACGCGGGGTTTCGGTCTCTTAACTCTGAGCTGATTGACCGACATGTAGCTTGGAGGAATCCTAAATCTAAGTTTCGGTATCTTGAGGCTCTTCTTGAGGATCTTGTTGAGGTCACTCGCTTTATGTATATCTCGCTCTTTGGGTCACCTAGGCCTTTAGTCTTTCGTTTCATTTTCTAACCATGCCTATCAGGTCGGTAAGTGCTGTCCATAGGGCCGGTATTTTTCCCCGTTGTTTCTGCAGCGAGTGCGTTGGGGTTCTTTCATCCTATGGATGCTCATCGGCGCTTCCAAAGTTTCTATTTTGTTCAGCTTATTTTTTTGTCTACACTTATTCCGTGTGTTTTTTCGGTAGGATGCTTGCCTCAATGTATTTTGCTGCATTAGTATTTAGAACCAAGTTTTTCTTTTGCACATGCTGGGGGTTGTTGTCGAGTGTTTCTGTTATAGCTGTGCTTACACTCTTTATAATGTTTATTTGTTTATTATTAAAAAACAGTGCTGGTTGCCCGATGCACATTTATTATTCTCCATGAAAATGGTTTTGTGTTTTGTGGTTGTTTTATTGTAAGGTGAATTAGCACAGAAAAACTTAGGAAGTTCTTGATTGTTAAACCAATTTTCCATGTCTGTTCCTTAGGAAATGAACAGAATGGTAAGGAGAAAATGCATTCTAAAGTCAAGCCGTTAGGTATTAAATAAGATGCTTCACGGCGGTAATGTGCTTAACACGTTCTGGAAAACAGAGCTGAATAACGAAATGCTACGTCACGGGCTCAAGCGCTCGAGGTTAAGATTCAGCGAAATTTGCAGAGAAATTAAGGGCTGGAATTTAAAATCGAGGCATTTTGTTGTCGTTGAAGGAATTTCCTGTTTCCAGTGTTTTTAAGAAGAAAATTACATTTTGAAACTATTTAGGGGGTGTACAAATTTTTTGGAAGTTGTTCTATAAAATAAAAGCGGCAAGGAAACAACGCCTCGAGGCAACAGGTGAGAAAAAAGAACGTGCAAACGACTCAAAATCCGTTTTCCGCGCAAGTCTAACGCTTGCACAAATGTTGTTGAACTCTGTCGTTCTGGACATCGGAGAGAATTCCGACCTCAGTGTTCTTTAGCCAGTGGTTCTTGAGTGCAAAAAATACGAGTAAATATCTATTCTCTAAAGATAATTTTATCCCAATCTTCCAGCGCAAGGAAAATGAACAACTTATTGAGCGCGAATGCTTGACACAGACGCTCTTTGGAGTACTCACAAAGACACATAGCATAATACAGAAACGACTCAGTATTTAGACTAAGGAGAGGCATTGTCTTCAATTTCTTCGCAACAAAAGAGTTCTGCTAGACGATTACATTTCACCAATTTGTGACGCAAGGCATCGTACAAAGCTGTGTAAGTGGCCTCGCAGCCTTCTTTTTGTTTCCAAGCCATTAACATTTTAAAAGCCTTCTTTGCCAACTTATTATTGTCTTCATCAAAGTTAGTTATTGCAGCTTGGTTGAATCCCAGGCGTCTTCCTAATTCCTCCCATTTTTCTCCAAGTTCCAGAGACAGTTCCTCTAACTCGCAATCTGATGGTTCACCATCTTTAACCTCATGGATAACTGAGGATAACAAAGGAGGGTGAATAAAAAATTAGAAAAGGGGTGCTTCAAGGCTTTGTCGAATAGCGAACAGTTGTGGCGAGAGGCGACTTCTCTTTTTGGTATCATTTAATACCGAATCGCCAGCCTTAAAGACAGTCAGGCTAAGGCGAGGAGACATTTGCAGCAGCAGGGGTACCATTTTCCCAACCCATAAAAAAAATTCTTGAAAGTTTTTTTTTTTTGACTAGTTATCTATTTGTGACCTCTTCATTCGCGTATGGCTCGACAAGCATCTTGAAAATGAAGTTCATTAGCAACGTGTCATAGCTAGTCTTCAGCTGCTAATGCTGGAATAGGTGATAGCTGTTCAAGATACACGGGTGTTAGATTAGTGATAGCCCCCCGTTTTAATTCCTCATTTTTTATCCTCTTCACATTATAACTGGGTGTGAAGGATGTCTAATAAATATAATGCCAATCTTTCTGCTTAAACAAATAAACGAGTAACAGCAATATGCAAACTTGAAAAAAAAATACAATAAAAAGGAAAATCCATCGCAAAATTTTCAATCTCGGCATTACCTGATTGGCGTTTCCTCTTCTTAGGAGCTGCAACAGGGCTGCATGACGATGATTCCACAGTTGGTTGCTTTGCACTTGAATCTTTCACACTTTGAGCGGAAATACCTGCATAATAATGGAGTTAATGAGATGGTTCGGTTGAGAACTAACGCAAGTGTTATGGCGCATATGGTTCGGAAATGATAAGTATGGTGATCCAAGTAAGACCCAGCGTTCACAAGTCTTATCGATTTCTCTTTGAAGTAACAATGAGCAGTGACAAATTTGACAAAGGGGGCTGTTATAAGGTAACATATTCGATCCAAGATTTCATTTGAAAAGCAAAAACAGGTTACTAAGGATTTCTCACTGATAGAATTAATCGATTATTTTAACAAGTAACCAACGGAATAATTTCTTAGAGAATTACACTTCTTTGTGTCTTTCTCAAGCTGTTTTTCGCTTTACTCATTTCCATTACCCAATTCCTTCCAAGGAAGGACGCACGTACTGTAAAGGTCTGTATCGAGTTTACTGATACGTAACAGAGACATTAAGCCATCACTATTGAGCGTGAGGGGGGCATGCCCTAATTTATTACCGCATGGAGTAAGGTAGGTTATTATGACATTGCGTTGAGAACACGTTGCTTCGTTTCTACATGCTAGATACATGTTCAAAACCCACAGAGCCCACATTTCTGAGTTTGCATATTTTAGGACAATGATGACTGGTCTAGTAAATTGTATTTATTCGAACAACAACGAAACCATCAACAACAACAACAACAAAAAAAACTTACCAATTCTTTCTTCAAAATCAAAGGTGACAGGAGCAGGATGCTAAAAGAAGGAGGGAAAATTACGGGTACGTATGGAGTGAATAGAAATGAGGAAATAAAGGAAAGGACTAAATAATGAAGAAAAATTAAAAATAAATAAGTATAGAGGCATAGAAAGTGACTTTAAAACAACTGAAATATAAAAGAAGTACACTTAATCAAAAACTTGCAAGGTCTTTAATGTTCCTGTACATTTCTTTACCTATACGACATTCACTAGTCTTGGGTTTCTGGTGATTCGTCCTCAATAAGGTTCGCGCCGCCTTAAAATGACCACATTATCTTACTCGAAACCTTTTGATGGCTAATTTTGCGAGACTAATGTTTACTCAGCAGTGCTCATTTAACCCGAAAGGTCTACTTTTTAAGAAGGCACCTCCCTCTTTCCAGATTACTACCGGTATTAAAAAAAACTTGATCAAAGGACCGGAAGGCCAGATCCTGGTGTGGCCGCTTTAGTTTCCTAGGTATTTACTGGATTTGTTTTGGTAAAATTAATACAGCAAAGCTTATCCCAGTCATGTTAAATTTCATATTGAGCGTGTAAGAAAGATTGGCAAATAATAATGTATACAGGAAGGGTAAACACATTTATATCAATGGATTAAGAACTCATGCTGCCAAGTTAGTGTCTCTGGAAAATACATGGGCGTAGCCACTTGCTTTCCGCGCCAGGTATACCATAAGTTTCAACCCAAAAGACTGTGGTCTCCAAGAGGTATGGTTCAGTGGTGTAACATGACTAACATCTAATATTCGGAACAGCTTACATTTATTTTTGGAAAAGCTGCTGAGGTTGCAAGGCAGTTGGAAGATGGAAACTTCTAAATGTGTATGTCGAAGAAAGCCTTGACAAAAAGCTACAGGTAAAACTCTTTGACTTTCCTTTACATTGTAATCGTACAACTACTTTAATGAAATATTGGAGATTTCACTCTAAACACATTGTTTTGGTTGAGTTCCAGGTATTTTGGGCAAAATAATGAACTTCGTTTGAGCGTGGTGATTTACGACAGTAGTACACTGATTTTTGTTTATACCCATATTTTTTATCAATGAATTAAAATGTAGATGTATGCATTTAAATAGCAGTATCGTAAATACCTGTACTGGAGATCTTGGAATGATGGGCACTTGACATAATATTGGGGAATTTTTTCTCTCCTTGTCTCCCAGCAATTTTAGGAAGTCGACTTGCAGATCACCCGGGTCTTTAATAATAACACGCAGATTCTGCTCAAAAGGTTCGTGACCAAGAAACCTCGCATAAAAAAGGAACAAAAGATTAGACGAATAACAACTTTTTTCTTAGGTTTCCAGTACAGCGGATTTAGCAAATCACTTGAGTCTACATCTTTGTAAGCGCCAAAAAACACTCTTTAAGTTATTTTAGCTTTCTCTCGTTCAAACTTAACGAAGGAACAACATACTTAAGGAACTTATTTAACTTTATAGTACTGGAGTGTAAATTTCTCTAAGATTTTGAGCTTTCTTAAGTCAAGAAGTTAGAGTGGATAATTCAAATCCATTGGTGTGACAGACTTATGATCTTAAGCTAGGAGTCAAAGGGACAGTGCCGCTTTCTCAACCCGGATGATGAGGATGGAGCAATAAAACGTAGCAGGGCTGGTGCTTACTTTAAGACGATGTCCTCTACATTTCCCTTTCCATGCACTTCAAATCCATTTGAAAGAGACACATATGTCTCATCACCGCATGACAGAGGTTTCTGCGAGGTTCCCTCTCCTTGCATATTCACAAAATATCTTGAAGAAATATCGCTATTCAACCTGGACCTTAGGTGCTGCGGAAAACAAAGCATTTTCAGCAAGTATCTCAAGGATACTGTATCCTCACATAAGCAAGCTAAAAACCCAGCGTGTTGTTGCATGAATCCACGCTGTAGGATCCTGACCCATTTCCATGGAATGCTGGTGGACGTCTTCAACAACCAAAGCCAAAACCTGAAAGAAAATAACAGGAAATTCTACACTTCATGAACCAAAAAGATACGTTTTAGGACGCATCTATACTTATTAGAAAGTGTGTTGGCCTCTAGAGAAAAGATTTTGCTAGAGGGAAATAATCCCTCGACAAGCACCACGACATTTTTTAAAGTATCCATCCAAGTCAGTTACCCAGCTCAAAATTAATCAACAAGTCCGGTTTTTGGACTTGGCAAGAGAGAAACTTTTTTCAATGAGAACTTTGATTTTAAAGCTAGCTTTTGAATAACGTAGGGAAGCTCGAGAGCCTCACCAAATGTTGAGAGAGGAGGAGGAGTAGGAGGAGGAGGAGGGGGGGAGGAATACAAGGAGCAGAGGGGAGGGGGAGAACGGAATTAAGTAGGTGGACCTCACGTGGGGAGAGCAGTGCGTGTGAAAACAATAGATTTCAAACGTTTGTATGTGAATTACACCGTGCAGCAGGACAAAAACTCATACGAGGAACAGTTGTTGCCATAAAATTGGCATCAAGCATCCTTCTTGTCCAACTTTCTGGATGCTTCTTATTTTTTAACTACTCCATTCACTCGCCAGTGGAATCAAAATATCTCAAAAATCAGGCGTATAATTTGGAAATGGTCCTCACGGCCTATAATTTTTAGTAGCTCGCAATATAAATCGTTTGTGTTATCTTGAATACTTTGTGTACATTGATTAATCAATCAATGTTACTTTTCAGTGCTCTTTTGCATTCATTGTCACATTCAAACCCATAGCACAAGAACTGACGAAATTTGGAGATTCACAACAATTGCAAAGCGGACTTCTGGTTTCTAAAACTAATGGTTTACTTCAAGAAATGTAAAAAAATAAAAAATTAATATACGCAGTTTATAAAATAAAAATGCGGTCTACACCTTTATCTTACCGGCAGAAAGTTTTGACTTGAAACGTCACTATTCCATCTCTAAGGACTACAGGCATATCCAAATGATCTGTGATATCCGTCCATTCTTGTGATTCCTCTCTCGAATTGAAATGTAGTATCTTCACTTGACCTGAATGCAGCTCCGCTGGCTCTATTTCACCGTCCGTGAGTGCCAACGGGAGGCTGATTTTCGCTGGCACTGACAGCTTCACATTGTTTGAGCACGAAATGTGAAGAATCGGACCAACAAACATTCCTTCCACATCGTGGTCGATGGTTGGCGCTTCTTGCACCTCAAATTAAAAGAGCCAAAACAATCATATCACAAATTTATGATAACCCAAGGTACTCTTGTCAGCTACCAGTAGTTTGCCAAATGAAATATGGACGATGAATAGATTTGATAAAACATTTTTTTTCAGCTAAAATCTATGCGCTCAGAATATACTAACATGATAGTTTTCATAAAATCCGTTATTGGCCATAATTTAGGTCAAAGCATTTGATTTTATATCCAGGTAACATCCTCTCGGCAATAAGTTGTTTTTTTTGTCATCACCATTTACGTTTTTGGAAACAAATGATCGATATAGTAATAATGATGTTAATGATAACGATAATGGTGGCAATAAATTTCATCATCACTATCACCATCATCTTATCATCATCATTATTATTTCTTACAAATGCAACATCGGGTATAAATACCTTTAGAGTTAAAGAAAAGTCTGTATCGGCAGGCAAAGAATTCCATGGAATCGCAACACTAACATTTGGATAGTCTGGCAGTGAACAGATAAACTCAGAGGTCTTAGACGTAGGCTTAGGAAAGACAAAAGACTTGAGGCGCCAGACTGCTGCAAACGAGGAAAACCACCTTTTCGAGCAAGAAGCTTCAGCGGAAGGGCACGTCCAATTGGGGACGGTTGGATGTACTGTAATATAATAATATTATTAGTAATGCTGTAATAGATATCATTAGTTATGGTTATTACTTAAATCTTTCTCACAGAGCGGTCTGTGTAAGAGAATCTCGACCACGACATAAAGATACTGTTAATAACGTTCCTGTAGGTATAATCCGTTTCAATTATTACTCAGTAGTCCCTATTAACCAAGCTGGAGGTCTGTATGGGAGAACTTCCATGTTGTTATTCTAATCCATTCTAAGTTTTGCCCGAGAACACACCACCATCAAACTGTAAATGTCGATCTGGAATTACGTGCGCTAACCACTAAGCCGGCTCCCCATCTCCCTTAAATGATCCTAACTAGGGATTGAGAAATTAGCAAGAAGTATATGGAATGATACTTGTGTATGGATCTCATCGGTAAAATTTATTATTTCAGTACCTGACGAATGCCAAATGTTTTTTGTCTCCAAATCCTCCCACTCGTTGTATTCGGGGTCAACCAACTGCTTTATAACCACCTCGTACCCTTTGAAGTTAGAGGCACTGTGCAACAAAGCTACATTTATGCTTCCCGAAGCATTTTCCATGAACTCCAGATCAGGTGGGCCATCATGAGACAGTTCAATCACATTGCTTACCAAGAGCTCATTACTACCAATGGGCGGAGAAAGGGCTGCGGGGGTCCATAATGAACATGTTATGGTCAAGGATTTTGTTATCGCTCCAAGGTTAAATGTGATGGATGCACCAGCTTTTGCAAGATTCCAAGTCTCTGACTCGTCTGCAATTTTACCTCTGAAATAATCACAAAATTACATTTATCAAGCCTTTGTTTGAGTGAAAACGCTTATCATGTTTCCTCTTGAATGTAAAGTGAGTTTCTCTTTCAAGACGGTTTTGCAGCTCTTTAAACTCGGTCTCATCAACTTCAGTGATGGGCTATCTTTATTAATTGGTTGTCTGTATCTTACTCCATCGGCGAAAAGCTTATGCATAACGTAACATTTTGATATTTTATGCTCGAGGGTTGACATTCCGGATGTGATGTCACTATCAAATAACCAAATCACGAAGATGCAGTCTACTTCGTTGGGCAAGGCCAAAACGGCGTCTTTTATACCTTTTTTGCGGGTGAATATGCGACAGAATCGGCTTTTTTTGAACAGTTATTAGCCCTCTGCAGGAATGCTAAACTATAAAAATACTGCTGTTAAAGAATAAATTATAAGCAACCTAAGACTACACTTTCTATAGGTCTATCGTTGTATAAATAACGTAGGACGGATATTGGGGAAGAACTTAAAAACGCTTTAGATCACCGGACTATAGCTAATACAACGCTTCCGAATGTCGCGAATTGAGAGTACCTAATTCAGTGAAGCAACGATTCTTCTAAATAAGTGTGGACTTACTTTTATGGAATAAATTGTAGGTTTTTGAGCAATTGTAATGCAAATTGTATCTAAGCTATCTCATCAAGTAAGAGAATCAATAACATTCTATTTAAAATTTTATGAACAGCATTCAAAATAGCCATTCTTTTCTTTATCCCGAAATTTTCAATTGTGCATGTGACCATCATGGTTCATTCTACTCAGGGAAAGTTTTTCTTTTATTAAGCTCAGCTTAATATGATTGTTATGTCGCTAATGTGCATTGCACGCAAATATTCGCAAATCATGTTAACCCTTTACACCCTGACATCATGCAGTTTTTATTTTCTCCAAACTATTCGGGAAAAATTTCTTAAGTTGCTGACGAGGAGAAGTCTTTTGGCAATCTAGAGCTGCATTGGAGGGTGATCATTTTCTTTATTTTCCTGACCTTAAAGTTTGATTCAGGGGTGATGTTGTGAGGAGAAATTGCATAGTAGCCACCCTTAGGGGCAATTGTATAACTTATTATTTTTTTATGTATATATGTATATATAATTCCACTAACGTGGGATAACAGAACGACTACATGCAAATGAACTGCACCTCTTGATGACAGTCTTTCTTTCATCCACTTTTCTTGCAGCCTCCTCCTTCTGGCGAACGTCTTGATCAGTTGATCTGGAGGAAAATTCTTCCACCTCAAGTGACTTCTCTTCTTCTGGAGCTATGTGATTAGACAAAAGAAAAGGCATGTTCTTTCCCAATGCAGGACAGATTTGTAATAAGTCGTTTAGCAACTAAGGTAACTGATGAGATAATTGAACATAGGATAGTTTGGTGTCATCAACCAAACTGATAATGTAAATTGGCCACCGTAGTGGGATTCTGAAGCTGGCATTAGCCTCTGTCGGAGCGATTTACTCTGACGAGGGCTAAGCTTCTCAAATGTTCTTCCAATATCTTCCAAGTGGGTTTATCATGTTATACAACGCAAGAAAATGTGTTATATTGCTTTTATGAAGTAACTATCAGCAAGGTTTAACTGCGAAAAGAATGAATTTATGATCGATTTTGTGATCAAGTAAATGATTCTCAATACAACCCTCAAAAAGCGCGAGAGACCAATCAAGGCGCCTGAAAGAAAATTTACAATCCGCAAGGACAACAATATTAACAACTGAACAATTGAATGAATGAGCAGAAAACACGAAGGAAAATTAAGAGAAATCGTGGCAAAGAAAACGACGCCTTACGCAATGCGTTTCTCTTGAAGGGTACTTCAATTTCAACGCAGGAAACGCAAACTCTGTGGTAGTAATCCAGATATGCCGTTCAATCTTTCCCTTTTATCTAAACTGCTTTTATTGCCTCTGTTTTAATAGGAGCTTACAAAATCATCAAAATCAATAGCAAGCTCTTCAATGCTTAGATATAGCGAATACTTATAAAATACAAGCTTACAGCGCGCATGCTACACGAAAAGATCATAAACTCCAAATTGCATATTGAATGTATGAAGCTATGTTGATTGAAGGCACTCTGGTTTGGTTTCCGTTCCGATTGTAAATAAGACATTTTGGAAAATTTCTGAAAGAAAGTCCCTTGCTATAAATATAATCGAAACCATTAATACTTAATCAGAAGTTTTGAGAAATAACTCAGATCTCAGAAGACATCAAATGTGGTATTTTAACCCAACCACTTTTGTTTGTTATCTTACTCTAAAGTCATCGGTTTCACTGAATTACAATTCTGATTTTTTGCCAAAAAAGTTGAATCAACACCTATTTACTACGCGAAGCGTGGTAACGAGTACTGATGCCGCTGAGGAGTCTGGGGAGAGTAAACATTTTATTAAAAATGGCGGACTGCTAGACAATTGTGAGGATTAGTAGCGGAGGACTTTAGAGGGGATGACTGCTAATTTCGTGCCGAACATGTACTACGGAATGTATGTATGAAATCTAGGACTAAGCATACCAGTGAAAACAATTAAGATGTGGGCTCGAAGGAAACAAATCATCCTAAAACATAAACAGACGACCTTCAAAATGAAAGCTAAAACGTGGCCGAATAAGACATGGCTTCGAGACCTGGTACCAGACAGCAGTCATTTGTATTACTCTTGCCCAATAAGTGTTATGATTAATTATCACATGAACACAGTTATCCCTTAAAATTATGATTGGAACTATTTGTTTTGTTACGTTACGTTTAAGTGTTGCATTGGGCTTACTGTAACTTGCGAAACGAAACGAAACGAAGCAGATTGGAAATCTGTTATTTTGAAAAATTCGGAAATCTTTGAAATGGAAATCTGTAATTTTTTATATGAGGAATCTGTAATTTGCGAAATGAAAGTCTAATTTGTGAAACGAGAAGCCGTGCGGAAAATTCCATCGGCTGGAAAAGTGTGGATAGAAATTTCTTACACAAGTAATAATGCAAAAATTGTATTTTTTTGATACTTTCAAAATTGTTCGACAAAAGTTTAAGCGAAAAGTAGCCGCAGTTCAACCCTTTTGATTACTTATTGTGATCTGTATACACATGTAGCTATGAAATCCTCTTCAGCTCTACATGACTTCAATTTGGATTGTACATGTATACTAGTATTCTAGCTAGAAAAGATTTAGACCTAGAAACAATTAATGTACCTTTACATATTGGTTAAAAGCATGCTACTGAAATATGTCAAACAACTGTAAGGTTTAGTACCTTTTGAGTGTGATGTCACCTCTGGAACTCTCCCATCTTTTACAGCCTGAAAAATTCAAAGTATGGTATAAACACAAAGTATGTAACTTTTGTGGTTAGTGTTGTGTCAGTCAATATAATCCATCAAATGCTTCTGCCTGCGCACAATTGGCTTAATTGCATCACAAGGATTCGTTTAAAATTTGATTGGAGATGAGAGAAGGGACATGTTTGTTTGTTTACCAAGTCATACCTTAGGACACTGAAAATTAAACATCCCCAAACAGTAAATTGTTCACAAAAATTTTATCCATACATTGCAAAAATATTTGAAGAGTAATAAAGATGATAGCCTCCATTTGGCATGAAAATATACTTGTATATTTGTCCTTGGACATCATCGTTCCTCAGAGCTCACAGTTTTCCTCAAGCTTCATTCTTTCAGAACTGTTTACATCCCAGAACAGGTAATGTCTGCAGACAAGTATCCTTGCATATTTTCAGTCAGAATAGAGGCTATTGTTGATATAACAATATACAACAAAATGAATAGGATATACATATTTATTACATCCATTTTGAAATCACTTGTGATCTGTGCAATTTGATTGGCTGTTACTGGTGTGATTTATTCACATATTGCACTATTTTATGCTCTAAATCGCATCTTTTTCTCAGCCAGTGAGACAGCCTTACTAAAACACATTAACCAACCAAGTTTCAAGGCTTGATTTAAAAAAGGTCAATCATATTGAAGGAAAATGAGTGACAACAACTTTTTACAAATCAGCACAGACTCAAAAAAATATCTGAGGGCTTGAATTTTGCAATTTCAAAATAATGTAATAAAGTGGTATTTGAACTATGTGTTGTAGAATTTTGTTCTGAAATCCTACTTTTGATTCCAAAATTTAATCAAACTTGTGCTGTGCACTCATTCAATTTTGTATGGTTTCAGACCAAATTACACTCCACTCAGTTCAATTACCATTATAAATATTCATATACATTTAAATGTAGTATAACTACATGAACAAGATGATATTGACACTGCAAAGATAGGAGTGCCAGTGGATTCTACATATCCAATCACAAATGATGGGACTCTAACAAATATTTGTTGTCAAAGAAAATCAAATCATGTCATTCTGAGACCTCATGACCTCAGAATACAACTTGACCTCAGAACATATCATGAAAATTGCTGTTTTTGTGGCTATGAAAAATAGGTTCAAGTGTTTTTTTTTTTGAAAGAAGTGTTCATACAATTATAATTTTTTATAAGAGGTTTATAGTGGGTGTGAATGCAATCAATTATCAGTTAATTTACCAGTAATTTTTTTTGCAATGACCTTGACTTCATGTGGTGCTTAAATTGCCCATGCTGATGTCATTTTATGTTAAAGCACTGAAATTGATGTTACCGAAAAGTCTTTGGTTATCACATTGTAACTGATCTAAAAAAGCTAAGTTACTTTGTGGTTTTCCTACTTTGTCATGAAGAAAGGTTAACCCTTTAACTCCCAAGATCTCATTCATAATTCTCCTTACTGTCTGCCATTTAGCTCTTGTGATGTTAGTTTGGAGAATTTGGTATTGGATCAACTAATAATCCCCTAATCAATATTTTTTTCTATTCTCATCACTTGTCTCCTTGATATTGTGTAGATATTGTAAGGTAAAATTCTGTCTTGGTCACTCATAGGAGTTAAAGGGTTACCCTTTTACTCCCAGATCAAATTTGTAATTCTCCTTATTGTCAACCACACAATTCATATAATGTTAGTTCAGAGAATTTAATATTGGATCATTTAATTATCCCCAAATTGATATTTTTCCTTGTTCTCATCTCTTATCTGGTTGATATAGTATTGATATTGTAAGGAGAAATTCTGTCTTGGTCACTCATAGGAGTTAAAGGGTTAATGTATTAATACTGTGTCAGTGTAGATAATGTAGAATATGATCTAGAAAATTCTGTAATGTTCTATTGTTTACCATGTTACGTATACCATAAGTCATGCACTTAGTTAACAAATTGAATGCAAGCTGATTTAAAGATAGGATATCATGAAATCATATGAAATGTTATACAATGTTTAGTATTTGTACATACATGTAAGGGGAGCTTATAACAAGCTGTTGTTGTTACCACTTGATAAATTGGCAATAAAGCTTTTTGTTGCAGACTACAAGTGACTGCGAAAGACACTTTTAGTAGAGTATGCAGGTAATTTTTGTGATAGGAGATGGATCAAATATGCTGCAAAAATAAACTTGTAATCAGTATGGTAGTTCTTAAAGAAACAATGTAAGTTAAAACCATCACACCTGTAATTCATTTGTGTATAGTTCCTCCCGTTTGTTATCCTGAAGTTGATGACAAAGGTGTATCATTTGGTTGAGAAGCTTGGTCATTTCTTCCAACATGTAGTGAAGTGTATCACTTTCAGTTTCCAGGTCACAGTCCTTTTGAAGTTCTTCCTTGGTGGCATTGTACATACCCTCATAGAACCAAAGCTGTTCTTTTTGCAATTCATACTTGTCATTCTCATCACTGACAAGATCCATCAAGGTATCAATAATGTCCTTGTTAGAATCAATAAAAGCAAATCGTGGAGACTTTTTCTTTTCTATCCAAAACTGTTTACAAAACTTCAAAGCATCTTTTCTAAATGTTTGTTTCTTTTCTCCATTCTTCAAAAAGTCACACATGTCCTCCACACCAGTGATAATTTTTTGCCACACCTCACTGTGGTTCCCAACATCAAGTGACTTCTCCATCTCCCATGCTTCGAGGTAAAGTTTCAAGGCTCCCTCATAATCTCGCAAGCAGTGCTGAAGGATAGCTCGTTGGAAAATGCTGCGCACAGTAAGTGGGTGATTTTTGAGAAGTTTCTTCCTAATGTTGTAAGCACGCATTGCAGGTTCAGCTGCTTCTGAATATTTCCCCTGCCACAGAAGGGCATTGGCAATTTCTCTGCAAAAGTGCGCTTCATCGCCTAAACCTGAAAGATTGAGTTCTTCCAGAAGTCTCAATGCATCTCTGTAATATTCAACCGCCTTGTCATACTTTTGGAGACCCTCATATGCTGTGCCAATTTGGTGCTTGTACATTGGCATATCAACATGATACTCAGAGCCAGCCAATTTCTTTTGCATGTTGTAGGCTTTTTCATAGAACTCAAGTGCTTCCATTGGCTGGTTAAGGCGGGAGTAACAATTTCCAACAGCATTGTAGCACCTTGCCAAATCTGTATGCTCTTTTAGCAGCTCCTCTGAGAATGTCAAGGACAACTGCAAGCTTTCAAGAGCTTTCTTGTAATCAATGTTTCTCCAAAGGATTTCACCTTCAGTGTGCAAGTAAAGGGCTTTAGTGAGCTTGAAAGTGTCAGTGGATTGATCTTCAACTTTCTCCATTGAACCCAAAGCATCCTTCAGTACTTCAAATCCTTTCTCTGTTCCATGAATGTCTGCAACTTGCAAGGCTTCCCAGCACTTAAGCTGTGTTCTACCAAGAGAACCTATTACATAAAAATCTTATTGAGAATTGCATTCATTCTTAATGATTAGAGCATTTTTCAATTGAATGTTTTAAACCCAAAACCAAGGTAATTACCATGGCCAGTTAGGAGAAAGGCAAACACCTTTGAAAGCCAACTAAACTAAAACCAACCAAACACCTAAAGTGCGGGATAATGGAAGCAACCAAGTTGTGATTGGTTTAGCTTTTGCATCTGATTGGTTTAGAAAGTGCAGGTGCAAGAAACTTGTGCAGCTGCAAGATTTCTGGACCGATCACAGAGTAAAGTAAGCAAAAATAAAACAATCCAGAATTGCCCTCCACACTCATGGAAAATTTCTCTAGATCATGGCTATTACTTTTAATTTGTTTGTTAACCAACTTTAACTCCCAAGTTTTGATTGTTAATTATCTTCTTTAGGTACTAATATAAACATCTCCTTCCAAATTAGTCATGAGAATTTGTTGTTAGCTGACAAGATAACTTTTATCTGATAAGTTTTTGTAGTCTTATTACCTGTATGCTTGAACATGTATTGATATTATGGGGAGAAGTTACATGTTTATCATTACTGAGAGTTAAAGGGTAAATGTATCATTTACTTTTTTTGTTTGTTTCTTGTGTTTGCCTTTGCTTTATGAGTCCAATTGCATCTTAGATACTTCTAATTCTAAACAAATAATTTTGTCATTGGCAGCATGCTATCTCTGTCTAAACTATACATAGTGTTGTAAATAGTTCTGATAATTAACATATTATAAATGTTCTGACACTAATGACCATAATATTGGAATTAGAAAAACAATAGAAAGCAAAAAAAGAGAAAAAAAAATCAAATTGTTACAAAAGAAATACCAAATGAACATAAAGTGGTATGAATTCCCAGCTGGTGAGAAGTAATCTGGTTGCCCTTTTAGAACAGATTTCAATAACAAATCTGGTAAGTAGCAGATATCATACTTTAATCTGATACCATCACTTTACATTAAGTCCACCAGTTTGACCACTTCACCTCGGTGCTGCCTCCTGTCTTTCATGTGTTAACAGCTATGGTACTGGTTATAAGCTTGAAGTTTTATAAGCACTAAAATAGATGAATTGTAACCAAAATTTTAAAATAAATTTTATAACTCTGGAATAAAAACATTCCACTTCCGATAAGCACATAGTACCACAATGAATGCTTAATTTAAATGGTAGTCAGAAGTTTTAACTTTTAACTCAAATGGGGCAGATGAGTGTACTCTTCAAGTCTTTACAACTTCAGCAACTTAGAAACTCAAAATCTACCCATTCATTCCAATCTCTGACACTGCAAGATGCATTACATTCACATTTAAGTTGTTCAAGAAATATAAGTAAAAAAAATTTACTTCTAGTGTCAGCTCTCTCAGAAGGATAAACATTTTAAGTTACTCTGAGTTTTATTATTTTTTTATTTTTTTGAACATTGAATCTAAATTATTTGGTTTATAGTAATGAGGTAACAGGATTTACTAGCTAAAGGATGGACTAGTCTTTAACTTGATGCTTTAAAGCAGATAACAAATATCTAAAATGAGAGGACCAATTGTCATCACAACTCTACTTTTTTTGAGTTTTTGAAACATTGAATCTATAAATTATTTTATTTCGTTATGAGGTAACAGGATGTACTGGCAAAAGGAAGGACTAGGCTTTAACGTAACCCATTAACTACCATGAGTGACAAAGACAGAATTTCTCCTTACAATATCAATACAATATCAAGGAGACAAGCAATGAGAATAAAGAACTATATCAATTAGGGGATTATTAGTTGATCCAGTGCCAAATTCTCTGAACTATAACATCACAAGAATTATATAGCAGACAGTAATGAGAATTAATAATAAGATCTTGGGAGTTAAAGGGTCTATGCTTTCAAGCAAATTATATGTTTGTATGTATCTAGCACAATAGAACCAATTGTCATGGCAACTCTACTTTTCAACAGCTGCATTTTAAGTGCAACAAATGAATTAACTCATTTTTCCCTATGAGTGACTAACATCTAATTTTCCCCTAAAGCATCACACTTGTGTTTCCCTGGCTAAAGAAGTTCTTGATTGTAAAAAATTCTCCTCCTCAGGACCTTAGAAAATTTTAAGAGAACAGTATGAAGAATATACATACTGATGTTAGGGTGTAAAAGGTAAACCCTTTAATCCTCACAAGTGATTAACATGAAACTTCTCCCTATAATATCCATACAATATTCAGGAAACAGGTAATGAGAATATTCAAACCTATCAGGTAGAAGCTGCCATCTTGATCTAGCACCAAGTTCTCATAACCAATTTACAAAGAAATATTTAGCAAGTAGAGGGGAGAATTAACAATCAGATCTTGGGAATATTCAAACCTATCAGGTAGAAGCTGCTATCTTGATCTAGCACTAAGTTCTCATAACTAATTCACAAGGAAATATTTAGCAGCTAAAGGGGAGAATTAAACATCAGATCTTGGGAGTTAAAGGTTAAAACATGAATCATATCTGTCAGCAGAACATGATTATGAATTTTTGCATTATTATTAAAGCTGAAATACTTAATTCCACTTTTAGGAGTGGAAATATTCTTCCAATTGTTAATTTTACCCATGCCAATGAGCTACTGATATGACTCTTGACAAAATGTCTCCTAGACAACATGAGAATCATTATTCAATTTCTTCCAATTAAATATGACACAAAAGACAAGCTTAGGACAGTCAGATCCGTTATGACCCTTACCTGATTTTCCATCATCTTCACACATCTCAGCCCAGGAATGAAACAGGGTAACTACTTTGCGTTCAGTCAGCATTGCTATGAAAAGTGATGCAATCAAAGCATTCTCATGAAATTCACCTGGAACTTTGAAATATTCTGGTTGTAAGGAGATCTCAAGAACAAACTCATAATTTGCCCTGTCAGTGTCAAACAAATGAAATGCTTTGACATACTCGGGATCTATAAGTTTCGCTATTTTCTTCATCCTGGACATAAAGAGTTCGTAATAGCGTCCCTTTGCTTTCATGTAGGCTGCGGAAAAGTGTTCGTCACTCTTGATACTGTCAGCATACTTTTGTAAGAGTGGATGAATGTCATATTTCCTCTCTTTTGCTTCTTCATCGACTACAGAAATTATTGCACTGGCCACAAGACCCTCTAGCTGTGCAAGAGCCTCTGATTGGTCAATACCGAGAACTTCGGAAGCTGTTGCCACAGAGAATGGCCCATGAAACAAGGAAATTACTACTGCAGTCACTTTTAAACGGTCACTTGGAAGTGTAGCAAACATTTCTCTAATTACAGATATCTGACCTGCATCAACTCCTTCTTCTTCAAAACTAACTGACATTTCTTCAGCATCCTCGTGCACTTTTGATTTCTTCGGAGTAGCAGCAACTTCAGCAATAAGGTCATCGGCAGATTTTCTTTCCTGGCGCAAAATAGCACCCATTCCTTTGAGAACAATTGGGAATCCTTTGGAGATGCCGATTAGATTATCTTTCTGGTGGACTTGAACACCAGTTGATCCCGCAGGAAAAAGAATTTTCTCTGAAGATGACGTTTTTAGAGACTTCACTTTAAAATTATCCACCAGTTTGGCATTTGTGAACTCAATCCTCGATGTGAGCAGCAGCTTTAATGCACATCTTTCTCCTTTGCCATCAAGTTCGAAAAGTTGTTCGAGGAACTGTACAAAGTCTTTTTTTAGGCTCTTCCTATCCATTTCTTGTCCTGTGGCAAACCGGTCCACATTATCGAGCAAGAACAGAACGGAATGCCCCCCACTTTTCAAATCTTTGATCTTATCGTGAACTTTTTTTACAACATAGTTCAGGTTCACGAAACCGACTGGAACAGAAAGGTCAAGGGAACTAAGGATGTGGTAATACATCGCTTTTATACTCTTAACTTCTCTAAGATCAAAGACTCGATAATTTCCTCGCCACTGTGAGCAAACTTCGTTGGCGAGTCTTGTCTTTCCAACACCGGAAGACCCAAACAAGTTTAAAACTGGGACCTCTTTTGACTCCAGTTTTTTGGTGATCTCCTTAATGTCATCGTCCCGCCCTTGAAATTCCTCCTCTTTAACAGCTGGACGAGAGGCCTTGAACCTCCTTATAGCTTCTTTGATCAGTTCTTCTTTGCTCGATTTCGGAGCAACGTAGTCTTCAATTAGTTTCACTTTGCCTCCAGACACATAGCCATGCTTCGCAAGAAGTTGTAAACATTGCAATAAATCTTGACTTCTTAGCGAATTAAATTTGCCTCCATAATTATTTTTCAAAGATTGCACAACATTTTCTGACTCTGTGCGGTCAAACTTCGGAGATATGTCTTTGAACAGATGTTGTAATTGCAAACGGCTCTCTATAGCGACGGCCGCCATCTTAATTTGATTGCGGCTAAACATAGACAGCCCCTTCATTATGTCACGCGATCTTCTCACGCAACCGAAAGTGACACGAAGGTTCTATATTGGTGGCGTCTAAGATTTCGATAATGATTGATTGCTGCCTGGTGACGATATAACTACTCACTATGGTTCCATAACTCGCCCTTTTTAGTTATTTTGTTTTCATTGATGCATTTATCTACTCTTTTTGGTACTGAAATTAATCTACCGCGGGCACAAGAGATCAGAGAGATGATACACGTCATATATATTTCGCCTAGATACTCAATATCCTGCTTTAAGGCCCCACTTTTTTGATCAAAAATTAAATCTTTTCTCTTTCAACAGTATAATGCTGAACAAATCAACCATTTGTCAAAAAAAAAAAAGAAAAAACAAAAAGAAAAAACAACTGCGGTGTGGATGTTTTAAGTAAGCATTATTTTAAAAGTGTCTAACATTCATTATCTTTCTTACAGGGACTGAAAACAGTCACAAAAGATCGCATTCCCATCTAATAAAAAGGGAATCTTGAGGCATTGAAATATGGAACGAATCTCTCCCGAAGGAATGTCTCTGGCTAGCGTGCCTTTTTAAGCCCAAAGGAAAAAAAAACACTTTATATTGTGAATTCCCAACGCAACGGAAGTTATGGCTCTCGGCTAAATTTTTCTTGGTTCTCCCGGTACCTTGTAAGTTATCACTTCTGACTTAAAACTATAACAATTTAAAGACAAGGAACCTGCATAAAACCAAGAAACTTTAATTCGCGTTCCTCCTGAAGAACCTCTGGAACATACCCTTTACCTCTTTTTGTTAGGATTGATTTCAATAACCATTTCAAAGTGGATCTCTGATTGATTGAAAAAGCTTAAATGGGACTAACTCATGGTTTGTGCTCTGCAAATCTGCAAACAACGATAGATTCAATAGCTTTCATGCTTTGTTACATCAACAAACTCATTACCTCAAATTTTATAGTTCTTCACGTTAGCGTATATGCTGCCGGAAATCTTGAGTGCAACAATTGTTGGCCACCAACCTTGTCTGCTTAATGCGTTGTCGGAAAGTGAAGCGTTCTCGCCTGAAGAACGGAGACGCGTAACGCCTCTGCGTGTATGATTGATCAGCTCACAACATCGAACCAGGCTAATTTAGGTCTACTGAATAGGAAACGAAGTCCGATTTAGCCCATCTGCTTTCTCCCTCCCTTCCCCCCGAAAAATGAGGCCCACACAGTCTTTTCGTCGTTAGAAGCAAGGTTGTGCGTTCTTCACCAAACATGAGTTATTTAGAATGCAGGGACGGATCAACAGGGAGAGTGTTAGGGAGTCCCAGCTCATCCCCTACCTTCCCTAAGAGACAATACTGTTACTTGTCTGTAACCAAAACTCTTCCAAAGACAGGATCGCATAGTAGTATGGCTGTTCTTTAATTTCTTTTTCATTTATTATCTTTTTTTCAGTGGAACACGAGGGTGTCGATACAATGAACCGTCAGGCGTCTTTGGGGGTACCCTCTTCTGTACAATCTTCGTTGTCAAACACAAGGGAAGGAATCTCCAAGGATCTACCCCCCCCCCCCCCCCCTTGCGAGTAAAAAAAAATTACGAGTGAAAGGGGAGGGAGTGGTCAAGAACTGATTCGCCGCGTTTTCTGAATCAAACGTTGGACTCCGCGTATCAGAAGTCCTTGCAATGAATAGCTGTTTGCTTAATAATGAATGATGGCTTTTACGGCCAACGGTTAGGATTTTGTCCATTTTACGGCTAAAGATGACCTTGCTTTCTTTGGGATTAAAAGAAAAAAATTCACGGTGAACTTTTTCACGACGTATGGTTAAAATTTGTCAATTTTCATGCCTAACGGCTAATTTTTGACCGTTTTACGACCAACAGTTGATCCCGTTGAAATTCTTAAGAATCTTTGCTTAGCGACGAATATTTGAATGTTGAATAACAATTCGATTGTCAATTAAAAGGTGAATGTTAAAAAAGCACACTGTATGGAAAAGAATACGTTAAATAAAAGAAAATTAAATAAATTCATAACACCTAGTTACAAGTAAAAAGACCAAATCGAATACAACACTAGACAAATTGAATATTGCTTAGTGCTACTTGCCGTAGACCTATTTCAAATTTATCATTTTTGGGTGAAAATTCCACAATTTTTTTTTCTCACGATGACAAAGGCAGGAAGGCCAGTTTGCATGAATCTCACAGATTGACAATTAGGCCCACCATTTTTTGAAGGAGGCAATAGTTGAGCTGACTTTTTTCATCCGATTTTTACTCTGCATATCACTTAGAATACTGTAACATCGATTTGAAAACATCGTCAAAATGACTTCTTCGATTCCAAGAGCCGTGTTTAAAGCCATCGTTGACATGCTTGTATGAAAGGCAGAACTAAAGGGGGGAGGGGGGCATGGTACGGGGCCAGGTTAGTGCCATCTCGTATTTCTCATCAAATTTTTTTCACGACTTCAACTTTCGTGCAGGACTTCAACTTTCCGCACAACTTCAACTCTTTTTCACGACTTCAACTTTCCTGCACAACTAACTTTCTTTTCACGAATTCAACTTTCCTGCACGACTTCAACTATCTTGCACGACTTCAACTTTCTTGCACGACTTCAACTTTTTTCACGACTGTAACTTTTTTCACGACTCAACACTTCAACTTTCCAGCACGACCTAAATATTCCGCTGTCCTAGTGGATTGGACCCCCCTAGATTTGGACCCTCCGGTCCAAATCCGCTAGCGGATATGGAACCCCCCCGTCCAAATCCGCTAACGGATTTGGACCCCCCCAACAAAACTGAGTGAAAACATCATCCTTAGCGTTCTAGTAGAAATAGGTAATACTTTACGTTCCAGTGCGCACGAAAGTAAGATTTTAATTCAAAACATGCGTATTGCCAAGCATATACGAACTGGCCTTTATTGAGGAATGTCACTTGTGCTGTGATCGAAAAGAACATCACCATCATCCAAAACCGCCAAACCGCTAAAAAATTCAATTAAAACCGAAAACCGCAAGCAAAACCGTCAAAACCGATAAATTTTCACATCCCAGTTATCAAAACCCTAATCAATTTGATGCAAAAGGGGCACACAAAGGTTTTGCGGGTACTCGAGATCAGTGGAGGCACATAATTGCCCGCGCTTAGATCGAAGAGAAACCGGAACCCAAAGAGGATAAACGAAAACCACATCGAATACCAAATTCGAAAATTGGTTAGTATTCTGACGAAAACCGAAACCAAATGCTGAAAATCGGAAAATCCGCAAACAACAATGAACACCAAAACCGCAAAACCGAAAATCCCAATGCCCCCGTCCTAAAGTAGTAGAGAAACTTTTAGATGGTGACGTGACGTGAAATTAACAATCGGAAACATAAACTTAAAAACCAAATTACAACTAATTAATGAGAGAAGGGAGAAGAGGGTCCCCAATAGATTTTCGGGATCCGAGATTGGACTCTTTTATAGCCCGGGATCTGGGAATTTAACGTAAGAAGGAAGCGAGATGCGGGATTCCTATTACGAACGGGACACGGGAATCGGCGATTTTGAGGAGCGGGATTCGGGAAATAATCATTTAAACGAACCTAGAACCGGGATGTCTGTTGAAGAGAATTTATGAAGAAAGTTATATTCTCAGTCCATGAAAAGCACCAGGCGAACAGGCGGTGGTCGGGCTGTTATTGCGCGGGAATGAATATTATATAAGAAGCGAAGTTGCCAATTTACCAAAAATCCTCAATGGCCCACAGGGCAACGAGGCATGTCAGACTGCTACGTTTTTTGAAATGCTTGACGGCCTTGAAAAACCTCCAGCAAATCTCAGAATTATACCTATATGACACTCTTAACCTGTCGAGTTGCATGACACTGGACAGTTTATCTTCCTGCATCCCGAAGGTAAACTTTTCACGATGTTAGATTACCTAAAAAACAGATGCAGCCAATGCAGCTAAAGAAGGCTTAAAGAGGAAAACCCATTGGGCAACGTACTATTTTACAAATCCAAATTCTTGGTACCCTGTACTTGAACTTACCATGATGCTATCGGCCATACCAGCAATTTAATCGCTACTACCTGTACTGATGACCACAGAGCACACAGTAGATGAGGGACTGGGCGTAAACACTGGTTGCAGCAGTGCGTCAGAGCTCTATCAGACAGAAAACAACGATGACAAGAGCTGGAACTCCCCCGTTTAACCTCTATTAAAAATAAATTTAGCCGGGCGAACTGGTCAGCCTCGAACGCTCTGACTTCCAGGAGCAGTAAGAAAACAACAGGAAACAAGTCGAAGAGGAAAATAGAATATTAGAGAAAGATTTCCCTGGCGACGATGGTAACATTTCATCTTTGGAACGAGAGGCTGTTTCACCTCGGAAGAGGTTCCCGCTTCGTGAGAAGTATTCGCTTCAATAGCAGCATTGTTTTCAGTTAATTTTTCTTTATCTTCCTTGTTATGGAACTATGGGATTGCCGTCACCTTTTGTCTTCTATGCACTTGTTTACATCGTGATTTTTTCTTTGATACCTACCTGTCTGTACTAATACGTTTGTCATGTTTGTCCGTGACCGAAGTTTTGACGGAAGGAAGTCGTTACCGTGACCAGCGTACGTTATTCGTGCAAAACTTTGAAAACTTGTAAAATAAACAATACCATTATTTTAGTGAAAAGCGATAAACTTACGCCTTACGATGACCATAGAATTTTTGGCCTTTTGTTTTTTGAAGAAACGTTTAATTGAGAAAATAATCCCTAGAAAAAACTGGATTGGTTAAAAGAGCATTTCTGAGCCTCTAGATTTCAAAATTTTCTGGGGGGGAGGGGGGGGCATGCCCCCAGAACCCTCTAGCGGCTCGCGCCTTTGGCGCTCGAAACTTGCCTGTGTTGTTCTAAAGTCTGGCTACGGCCTTGAAAGTTTAGGAAATGGACTAAGACGTAAGTGTAAGATCGGGATCGGGATTGGCCGGTATAAACCGTCGGGATCACGGGATTCAGAGATAATTTTAGTCGGGATCGCGAAATTCAAGAACCTTATTGGGAACCCTCGGAGAATAGAGAGGAACAGAAGAAAATAGTTGGGTAAACATTCAACAAAAATCTTCGGTATTTTTGCTATTATAATTTGTGTCGTCTCTGCTGTCATAACTCTAGAAAAGTGAATGTACACCTAATTTCTCTTCTCTAAGTTTTTTCCCTACTTTTAGTGTTTCAAATTAAAGAGTTTGTTGCATTGACGTAAACCATCAAGTATTTTTGAGCCTAACCAAGACTGATATAAATGCTGTGAATCTTTTGCAGTTTTTACGTTCTTGTGCTCTAAAAGGGATGATATAGTTTTAGTACTTCCAACTACTGTATTGCTACATGTTGTACCGTCATTTATGAATGTATGTCTCTTTTTCAACCATAATAAAATTATTACTCTATCTTCTGACTTTCTACTTTTACCATATTGCACAAAACACGACTATCATCAACATCTCTTCAACTTCGTTTCACAGGAAACAAATCAAATGTCATAGAGAAATGCGCAGAATTGTTTTTGTGAATGTACCATGAAAGATCTTCTACCTTGATAATAAACAAGTGTGAAATGTTCTGTAAAAATTCTCACGGATAACAAGGTTTAACTCTTTCCAACTAGATTCATCATCATTCTCTCTTCTTGACTTCCAACCTAAAGAATAAGGGGTTCTAAAGGAGCTAATTCTGGTGGGTCAAGTGCAGTTTAAATAATATACAAAATTTAAAACCTGCAAAATTTTTATGCTTATGAAACCTTAACCTTAACCTTAACCTTAATGAAAAATTCGTTGTTTCTGTCCGTGTAAGAGAGATTTTATTCCTAAAACGGTTATGTTGTCACTATGTTGCCTACTATAGCAGAATTTTTTTGCAGGATATTGAATGAATGGACCAAAACTGATGTTAACTTAAACAAATAGGGTAACCAGGGCGTGAAATTGCGCCTAATACAATTTTTCACTTTGGCGACCAAATCCTGAAAATTGGTTGCCAAAGTGGCGACTAGAATGTTTCATCATAACCTTACCTAGATATAAAGTGAATTAAAAAGATTTGCAAAGATAAATCCGCGGCAAACTTCCTCATCAAGTTTGTTTCCAAAACACAGCACATGCATCTCGATCGATAACTAGACGCCATCTTGGATTTAGGTGAGTTTGAACGTTGCATATCATCCATCCCAGTGTCCACTTTGTAGCTAGTTAAAGATCTTTTCCCTAACTTAATTTCTAGAACGGTGACAGCGTAAAAAGCAAGTTTTGTTTGTCTTTGAAAACAGCGACCAACTTTTTTTGAATTGGCTACCACTTTGAAGAATTTAGGAGCCAAGTGGCTACCAGAAAAAAAAATTAATTTCACGCCCTGGTAACGATTAGGTGTGGTAACACAGGCATCCTACGTAATTTTCGATAACGTACGAACTATGAAAATTTCCAGAAGCAGCATTTAAAATGCGTTTAACGCTACCGTAAGACATGTTGCAGACCTCTTGTTTGCTGTTTCTGGGAGTTCAACTAGTTATGTAACTGTCTACGGCTTATCTTTCTCCAGCTTATTAGTTCTTTTTGGGAAAAATAATTACCAAAATCTATGCAACTAATTCCCATAAGAAGTGTTAATCGAACTCTTCCATTCATTTCGGCACTTAGAAATTGGCCTATTACATCTTCATTACCAAAAATATTACTGACGTTCTAAGTCCAATATAAACCTTGTTTAAAACTGAAAACGTTACATTAATCCGATACAGCAGGACACTTCAGGAACCAATCCACCCTCTCTGGAGTAGGAGAGAAATGAATGCGGCCAGAAGGCCTCCTACTATGGCCACCACAACGAGTGCATTCCATCTGGTGTTCGTCTTCACTTCTTCCAGTTTTGGACGCAAGGGTTCAGCTAGACAACAAGGAGAACGAATTAATATCATTGAGTTTATTCTAGTCCAGTGGGAGAAAACAATGGAGTGGGAGTAGCAAGTGCGGTTTTGAGGACTTAAAAGGAATTACGACGGTAAAAGACAACGTGAGCTGGTTAATGTATAAAGTGATGGAAAATTTCATGTAACCATGGTTGGAATGGAAATTTTCTTTTTCACTTCAGGTAGAGGGCGCTTGAAGTAAGTAAGTAAAACAAATCTCAATCACTATTGTTACTCCCTTGTGTCACAAAAACAACAGTATGAAAGAATCAGACTGAACAATCTGATTCGTTCTGTGTTGCATGTATCCTTCCTGCCGAACAAACAGACAAAAAACAAACTAGATCATACCATAAACCATGTTTGACATTGTCGCCACAAGGTCTTGACACTGACTCTCCCAGCTGTACTTCTCTTCATAGAATGTCCGTAGTTGTCGAATCTCTTTAAGTCTCAATCGCCGTTCCTTCTGTCGAATGGACTCGATTTTTTTTGCCCATTCATTAGCATCCGTAAAGTCTTCTACAATATAAAATTCACCAAATTCCACTTTCTTCAATGCTTCAGCAAATCCCGAGTTTCCACTCACAAGAATGGGAATACCGGCAGATAATGCCTCGAGGGCAGTTAAACCAAACCCTTCTGTTCTTGATGGCATGAGGACGAGATCAAACTCCAGCAAAGATTTGATTAAAAATTCCCGATCTTTACAAAACTTTCTTACAGTTAACTGACAATGTGGTATACCAAAACTGACTATAATATCAACAAGCTCTTTTTGATTGTCAGTGTTTGCACCAATGATGGTAAGGTGATATGATCTATGACGCAAACTAGCCACGGCCTCTGCCGCAATATCATAGCCCTTTATGGACAAATCCTTTGGATCACAACGGCCAAAAACTAAAATGTAAAAATTCTCCAAGTCAGCCACAGAGGTTTTCGCACACTTAAATTCAGAAAAGACACCTGGTGTTATTGACAATACAGTTTTTTCTTCTTTGCAAGGTCGGAGGGACTTAGCAATAGCTTCCTGTAATTTGGGTCCTATGGTAACAACAAGGTCGGCCTTTTCACACAGGGAAACTTCCGACACATGCTTCTCTTCACCTCTGGAGAGAGGTTTGTCGGAGATTTTGTGCATGGCAAGTTCTTCAGGACATGTGTGAACCATCTGTACCCACTTACAGGAGTGGCTTCTCCTGATTTCCTCTGCCTGCCACCCAAGCTTCCAACTATGACCGATAACCACGTCTATGTGGAGTTTCTCCGGGGGAAACGCCAACCACTCGAGGGGGTTTGTGGAGTTTGACATTCTTCCATCTGCTTCCTTAATATTAATATCACATTTAAAAGCTTCTGCTTTGTCTTTTTCCTTACATTCACATTCGAATGGAGGAGCAAACAAAGTGACTTTTACATTGGGATTTAATGAAAACTGTTTGGCGAGCACTCTGTTTATGGTGGACAAACCACCCCTTGCCGAACACCATTCAGTTGCTAGAAGAGTGACATGTAATTTCTTGCCGTGCTCATGTAGTGAATCTACGTCCACTGAGGATTGAATGTTTCGATTTGACCGAGGCATTTCCTGCAAAACCGCAACAGACAACGGTTAGACTTTGACTCCGAATTTTCCACGAAGGACTGCTTTTATAAAAAGAAAGGTGCCACAATACCAAAACGGTTACAATTCAATAGCCTTGGTTGAAAATAGAACGAAATAGCCAGTCATACGACTGAAAGACCAACCAAAGGAATAACAGAGGTAAGAATTTAAGGAAGGAGGGGCTGAAGAAAAAAACAACCATATTTATTAAATGAATAAACAAGTAACAAACCTGAGCTCTTTGAATTTCTGACAAGGGAAGGACGACCCCAGATGGATGAGATGCCTGCAAGAGGGAAAAAACACCTAGCTTGAGAACCTCACAGGTAACAATTTAAAAATCTTGTTAATAAGCTGACGTGTAATGCTATCATCTTGGGCTACATCTACGACAGTAAGGTTGGCATCAGTAGTACATTAGCTCTGGGCTAAAAGTACATTTGATTAACAAATCCATAAACCGAAAAATGTCACCTACTTGAGATGCTAATACTATGGTCACGTTGCACAAAAGTTCACGACTTTGGTCGAAAAACTTCACTCCTGGAACACTCTCACTTCCTAAGCAAACTTCACCACCTGTGTCAAAAACTTTGTTCTCGTGGAATCTGTTCAAAACGAAATGAATTTAAATGAGACAAATTCAACGTACACTACACCAGCCGAGTCTTCGTTCAGAAAAGCACATGCTTTGAAATCTTTTCTCACAATCCAAAATGACAGCACATTTAACGAGAGCCCTACTGAATCTTTAAAAACGAGCATTTGAAGATAATCACGCCCGAAAAAAACAAACTTGTATACCTCCATAGTCCAATTGATTAATAAGAAACCTAGAAAAGCAGTGGCGAAAAATGGTCAACTGACAATCGAACAATGTTCAATTTTACAATAGAATGAATAAATTATTTCTATGTAAAACTACCATGACTGTATCTAGAAGTATTCAACTAAATCCAATGTACTTGATGGGCCAAAAATAAACTATACGATATTATACCTCACAAATTTTAAGGCGTTTTTCTCGTCTGTGCCTTGGGGTATGATTGCCTGAGAAAGAGACACCAAAATTTTGTCCTCTTCACAAACTGGTTTACGAGAGCTGCCTTCGCCTTTGTAGGGCACGACACACTCTGATATTCGCCGGTTCACATCATATTGCAGGCTTGGAGGATAGCAGAAAAGTTTGAGTCCAAAATGTCCGGGAACAGAGGTCTTACACAAGCACGTAGAAAATTGGGCAAGGTGAGGCCTAGACCTACTGGGAAGTTTTCCTATAAACTCAGTGAGGCCCGAAGCAGATTGTAAAAGTGATCTGATCAACTTGATTGGACGGAATCTATCAAATATAAGGAAAAACCAAATACACCTTAAGCAACCCAACGGAAATGACTAACAGCCATTGCACAGTAACCTTGAGTCTACGTATGCAAGTGATCATTTCAATTTTTGAATCTATATTTAATTAAAAGAAATACATGCATGTATGACTGTACACTAAAATACTGTTAAATCTCCTCTACGTCTTGCGTACTATTTTCCAATTAAAGCCGGCAAGAAATACTTACCCAGAGAAATGCCTAACTTTGAATTGCACTTTCCCATCTACAAGACGTGCAGGTTCATCTAATTGACCTGTGATGTCTTTCCAGTCATGTGGTTCAACTAGTGATTCACAGTGTAATATCCTCAGTTCACCAGGACATAACTCTGCCAACTCTTGTTTTCCTTTACGGAGGGTGAGAGGAATCCTGATTGTTACAGGCGCGATGAGAGTCACATTTTTAGAGTCTGAAATGTAAAGAACTGGACCGACAAGTCCTCCCTCTCCTTTTAGCTCACTGCTTGGAAATTCTTGTACCTTGAGATCAAAAGCAAAACAAGTTACTCCCAGTTCGAGTTCAACCTCTAAGCCCTCTGTCTGTGTACTGTTCTTAAACTTTTGCAAATTTAGAAAGAGGTGTCTTTTTTTGCAGTTTGTTTAAAAGATGTATAATAAAAAAATAATTTAATTTGGATTTTGCATGATATTATAAATTATCAAACTTTATGTCTGTGTTATCTTCAGCTTTGGCAGATAAGTCAGACCTCGGTTTTGCTAATTCATCATAATATCATGCTCATCTTCTTTCACTAATTGCATTAACTGCTAACCAATACGAACCACAAAACCAACTTACCTGACAGGAACGACTTCAATTTGAAATTTATATTGAAGCAAAACAAAAACAAATGTTCTGTTTGTTGCTTAAAGTTAGGTCTCGAAAATCTGGTTTTTAAAAAGGGTATTTCCAGGATCCATGAGTACATTCGGGGACAGTAGAACCACAATTGTTGCAAAGTTACCAAAACGGTTTAATAGAACAATACTACTTGTATCTTCTCACACATGTAACTTAAGCACATGAACAACTGTACTGTAATTAAGCTTACAATTTTTATAATATTTTTCTTTCCATCAATGTTGCCACTAAGTTAAAGAGGTGTATTGTGAGTAACTGAGGCCACAGGGTGTACTCTTATAGCACCTTTGCTTTATCTTCGTGTTTTTGACAATCCCTTCACGCCAATCTCATAACACTTATAACACTAAAACTGGAAAATAAAAAACTTGAACTCACACCTTGATTGTCACACAGAAATCTTGATCAACAGGAACACAGCTCTGAGGAATTTGAACACTGACATCAGGAAAGTCAGGCACAATACAGGTCAGTTCCGGACCTATTGCAGTACCTCTTGAAAAAATGAAAGACTTAGGACGCCAGATTGCAGCAAATGAAGAAACTCCTGATTTTGCACAAACAGCTTGTGCAAATGGGAAAAGCCACCTGGGAACTGTTGAAGTTTCTGCATGAGAATAAAAATAATGGTTGAATTTGCTTCCTTCAACTGTGTTTTGAAGTCTTCACACAATAAAGTTGCCACCAACAGATGCCATTATAATAGTTATGCTTCAAAGAATAAAGTTTGCAACAACACGGTGATTAGGTAAAATTTATATTTTAGTGATTAAAATGCACTTTGGAATCTGGTAACATTTATGCAATAATTACATGTACTAGCTGCTTAGCTGCAACTACACGGAAAACCAAAATAAAATGTTGTAAAAACCATTGGATCTGGACATGAAGTGTCAAGAAGCGTATTTTGACATTGTTAGTGCAGTACGAAGGTCATGCATTGTAAGGATCAGTGCTAGTATCTGAGTCAGTGCACACCTACTCCTCCTCTCCTAAGCCAACAACAGTCAGCTAATAAGTTTGGGTTACAAGTTGGGATTAATTTTGGGCTAGGAGAGGGGGAGGTGCACAATTGCTCAGATACTGACATTGATGCCAGTGAGGAAGGGAGCCTGAGAACATCATTCATTAATTCGTTCACACCTACATTTCATAACAACATTACAGTACCTGATCCATGCCATGTATTCTCTGTCTTCAATTCCTTCCATTCATTGTTCTCTTGGTCAGTCAGTTGCTTGATAACCACCTCATACCCCTCCAAATATGGGGCACTGTGCAACAAAGCTACATTAAAACTGATTCCTTCAAAATTTTCCCTGTACTCCAGATTTGATGGGCCATCATGAGATAGCTCAATAACACTGCTAACCAATATCTCATCACTGGCAACGGGTGGGGAGAGGCTCTTGGGGTTCCACAATTGGCATCTACATGTAAATGGCACGGGTTGTTGGACAGCTCCACTGCAAAGTTTGATGGAGGCACCAGCTTTTCTCAGGTGCCATGTGTCTTCCTTACCTCCAATTTTTCCTCTGAAATACAAAAGAATATCAATCAAGGGCAAGAGAATTTTTCCCAAGTGAAGTAAGCAATGACAAGGGTTTTTGAAATGCAAGTTGCAATTACTTGCAGTTTCAAAAGTTATTCAGGTAATGACACTCAACCTTAAAACATAAACTACTGGTAACTGTTCTTTTTGCCTAACTGTTTCTTTTTTCAGTCAGTAATTAAAGTATGAACAAAACAAAAATAGCAAAAAAATTTAAAGTAGCTACTCCCAATAATAAATTAAAATTCTTGCTTTGGTTTACTTAATTGATATATGGACATCTTAAAGTTTTTTCCTGCAAAAACTCAATTTCAACAGCAAAACAAAATATATCGGTCTAAGATTGTTAAGTCATATAATATTTTTTCAAGCCTGTACAAATACATGTATGTTATTGATCCAGTACTGAGCTGGAGTTTAAAATGTTGTAAAAGTTGTCTTTAATTTTTCTGAAATTTTATTTGATTAATCTTAAAACAATCTGTTAAATCTGATTGGCTGTTGTATTTTAGTAAAGCTTTCTCATTGTCTGAGAAATTGATACAGTTTAGAGCAAGAAATGGTGCATTTCATCAATAAATCACACCAGTGAAAGCCAATCAGATTGTAAGGATCACCAGTGATTTGAACAGGGATGTGATAAATTTTATAATAGCATTAGATTTATTAAGCATGAGCCTTATTTACTAAAGATTAAAAGAAAAGAAAAGAGAATAACTGTAATTTACAAAAAGGTCTGGAGGGTTGCTCCATGGTCAGAGCACTTTGTCAGAAGTTACTATTATATTAGACCACATCTCCTGGCAATTCCAACCCTGCCCAAGCAACGTAGTCATTGCAGACAAAATACACCTTTTGATCAGAGTCTTTTGACCATCTTCAGTGTCCACTGTTGCATCTTCTTCATCTGTCAAATCTAAAGTATTAATTTGTTTTCAGTACACAATAAAACAGACATTTTATTACCACTCAATTCCCAATACCTGTTCAACAAAATTGTTCAACATAGGGCCTTTCCACACTGGCGAAAAAGTTGTTTATTATGAAAAATTTTCTGTCATCACCAACATTTTATTAGTGTGGATGGTTTGTGCTGAATTGACAAATTTTGGCCAAAGTGGACAAACTTATATAAGCACTATTGACAAAATATGAATCATTATTAATTGGGAAGCTGAACATCAATAACTGAGAGACCTGGACTGAGTACAGGCAGGGTGCTTATCAGTATTTTCCCTCCCTTAAGACTGAGCAATTTGTTCAGCTTACAAGTCATGAGACTTGAGCAAAGCTTATGGCTATTAACCACGCTGATGCATTTTAATTGCGAAATTACTTTTATTAGAATAAATTACACTTAGGTATCTGTGCACGTGTTATTAGTAATCTGGCAAGCTAGCAAGCAAAAATTTTATTTCTAGCTTTGAGAATAAAGTTTTAGTTTCTTTCCCACCCATACCATTGACAGTTTTGATTGTATCTTGAATCTCATTCATGTTCATAATTTATCCTTGATTATTGGACCATTGGTTTAGTGTATTCATCAAATATTTTTTATGTCATAGTCTAAGGTGCTATTTACGTAGGATATATATGTTTAAGAAACTAGCTGTGTGGTCTCAAAAACAGGCCTCTGTCTGTTGTAGTGTTTAGAAATGATTCAAGGATAAATCCTAAAATTGGAGGTGAAATCCTTCGGAAAATTAGATCAGTCAATGGCAGAATTTTGACGACTTTGGAAATTTTTTCATGCAGATGTGACAAAATTTGTTCTTTCATTTTGTCAGGACAATTTTAGTTTTAACTGTGTGTATAGAAAAGCCCGTAATTACATAATATAGAGTTTGATACAACATAAATTAAATGCAATGGAAGAACCAATCATGCTCTCTTTTGCAATTAAAGGCTCAGTTTGCTATTTGTGCTAGAGAAGTAAACTAGCCCTGTAGTAGGGGTGGATCAGAGCCTCTCTATTGTGTTCTTAGGTTAGGCTAAGTTGCTTCATGCTCATCAAGTGGCTTTGGAGTATAAATGGAAACTGGTTACTTGTCAGGGAAGCCTGCTAAATTATTGGATTGGGGGAGGGGTCAATTACCCTGCAATGGACTCTACTCTCTTTAAAGAGGAATTCAAAAATTATTAAATTAATCTCTTCATAAGGTTTCAGGATAATTAATAAGCCACAACCCAGTGATCATTCAGTCTGAGGAATTTTTGATACACTCAAAAATGATAATAACTATGTATAAATACATGATAAACTCTTGAAAATTGGTTCTTGTGTTTGACAAAAGCCCTTTTTCAGAGGTGTGTACAATCACATACAATGTACAGTGTACAGTTGAACCCTGTTAAAACTCCATACATAACAGTACTTTCTTAAATTCTTCCTTTGTTCAGGAAATTGTCTTACACATTGTCAAACTTAATCTTCTCTCTTTTCTTGTAGAGTATAACAGAGCATTGAAAAGCAAGAGAAGAACTAAAGGTATCTGACTAGTGCAGTTGCATACATCTTATAAATCTGATTCTGCTCAGCAATAAATTAATAAACACAGAACATGTACATGTCTTCAATTTGGGTTATATACTTAAGTATGCTAGCCAGAAAAGATCTAGAGATAATAAATGCAACTTAACAAAACTGGGAACCATATCAATCCCATATGTCAGTCTAACCATCCCATATCTTACCCATATATGGGCCATGTTAACCCTTTAACTCCCATGAGTGACCAAGACATAATTTCTCCTTACAATATCAATACAATATCAAGGAGACAAGTAATGAGAATAAAGAAAAATATCAGTTATGAGATTATAAGTTGATCCAATACCAAATTCTCCAAACTGACATCACAAGAACTGTATGGGAGATAGTAAGGAGAATTACTAATGAGATCTTGGGAGTGAAAGGGTTAATAGTCCATAATTTGCCATATCAAACCCATACTTTTACTTTGGTAAGGGCAGGTATCATTAAAAACATGACATGGAAATAAGTCAAACAACTGTAAGGTTTGGTACCTTTTGAGTGAGTTGTCACCCCTGGAACTCTCCCATCTTTTAAAGCCTGAAAAATGCAAAATGTTGTGTTTAGTCATAAAGTAGTCATAATAATCCATCAAATGTTTCTGCCCACACACAATTAATCTGACTGTATCACATGATCAAACATGACCCAGCAGAAAATGGGTAATATCTGATTTCCCAATTTTCAAACTTTATAGGTGTATTACTTTAGGAGCATTAATTTAAAATTTTATTGAACAATTGAGAGAGTATTTAGGTAATTATTACAGAAGAGACAATTGTTTATTTGTTCATAAAGTGGTACTATACTAGAACACTGAAAATTTAACATCCTTAAGGCTGCAAACAATAAATTGTTTGCAAACATTTTATCTGCACATTGCAGAAACGTTTGAAGGGTAATAAACACAATAGCTTCCATTTGGTGTGAAAATATGCTTTTATATTTGTCTTTAGACATCATCTGTCCATCAAAGCTCACAGTTTTCCTCATTAAAAAAGCTTCACTCTTGCAAAACTGTTTGCATCCTAAAACAGATAATGTCTGTAAACAAGAATCCTTGCACATTTTTGCACAGAGTGGAGGCTATTGTTATATAGGATTAAACAACAAAATGAATACATTTTACACATTGATTACATCCATTTTGGAATCACTTGTGATATTTGCATTCTTATTGCAGCTATCAGTGGTGTGATATATTCACAAATTGCACCATTTTATGCTCTAAATCGCATCTTTTTCCCAGTCAATGAGACAGCTTTACTGAAACACAACAACCAATTAAATTTCAAGGCTTGATTAAAAAAGAGGTCTATCAGATCACAAGAATATGAGAGACAACAACTTTTTACAAATCAGCACTGACTAAAAACAAAGTTGTTTTGAAGGCTTGAATTTTGTGATTCAAAATAATGTAATAAAGTGGTAATTGAACTTTGTCTTGTGCAATTTTGTTCTGAAATCATTCTAAAATCTTGTGATTCCAAAATTCAATCAAAGTTGTGCTGTGTGCTGCTCGTTCAATTTTGAAAACCATGCATGCTGTATGATTTCAGACCAAATTGCACTCCACTTAGTTCAATTATGTAGAATCAACTGGCCCTCCTATCTGTGCTGTCTCAATATCATCTGTTTGTGTAGTTGTACTGCATTATATAATGAAATCAAATAAAAAGTTATACAATGTTAAGTATACATGTATCTACATACATGCAAGGGGAGCTCATATCTAGCTGTTGCTGTTACCACTTGTTAAATTGTCAATGAGGCAGCTGTGTGTTGCAGACTACAAGTGACTTCTAAAGACCTTTTCAATAGAGCATGCATGCAAGTAATCTTTGTGATAGGAAATGGATGAAATATAGAAATAAACTTGTAATCAGTATGCAGGTACTAGATCATAAAGAAACAATGCAAGTTAAAACCAGCATACCCGTAACGCATCTGTATATTGCTCCTCCTGCTTGTAATCTTTAAGTTGATGACAAAGGTGTATCACTTGGTTAAGAAGCTTGATCATTTCTTCCAATGTGTGGTGAAGTGTATCACTTTCAGTTTCCAGGTCACAGTCCTTTTGAAGTTCTTCTTTGGTGGCATTGTACATACCCTCATAGAACCAAAGCTGTTCTTTTTGCAATTTATACTTGTCATTCTCATCACTGACAAGATCCATCAAGACATCAATAATGTCCTTGTTAGAATCATTAAAAGCAAATCTTGGAGACTTTTTCTTTTCTATCCAAAAGTGTTCACAAAACTTCAAAGCATCTTTTTGAAATTTTTGTTTCTCTTCTCTGTTCTTCAAATAGTCACACATGTTCTCCACACCAGTGATAATTTTTCGCCACACCTCACTATGGTTCCCAACATCAAGTGACTTCTCCATCTCCCATGCTTCAAGGTAGAGTTTCAAGGCTCCCTCATAATCTTGCAAGTAGGCCTGAAGGTTAGCTCGCTGGAAAATGCTGCACACCGTAAGTGGGTGATTCTTTAGAAGATTCTTCCTAATGTTGTAAGCACGCATCGCAGGTTCGGCTGCTTCTGAATATTTCTTCTGCCAGATAAGGGCATTGGCAAGTTCTCTGCAAAAGTGCGCTTCATCCCCAAAACCTGAAAGATTGAGTTCTTCTTGAAGCCTCAATGCATCTCTGTAATATTCAACTGCCTTGTCATACTTTTGGAGACCCTCATATGCTGTGCCAATTTGGTGCTTGTACATTGGCATATCAAAGTGATACTCAGAGCCAGCCAAATTCTCTTGCATATTATAGGCTTTTTCATAGAACTCAAGTGCTTCCGTTGGCTTGTTAAGGCGGGAGTAACAATTTCCAATAGCATTGTAGCACCTTGCCAAATCTGTATGCTCTTTTAGCAGCTCCTCTGAGAATGTCAAGGACAACTGCAAGCTTTCAAGAGCTTTCTTGTAATCAATGTTTCTCCAAAGAATTTCACCTTCAGTATGCAAGTAAAGGGCTTTAGTGAGCTTGAAAATGTCAGTGGATTGATCTTCAACTTTCTCCATTGAACTCAAAGCTTCCTTCAGTATCTCAAATGCTTTCTCTGTTCCATGAATGTCTAAAACTTGCCTGGCTTCCCAGCACTTCAACTGTGTTCTACCAAGAGAACCTATTACATAAAAATCTTATTGAGAATTGCATTCAGTCTTAATGAAGAGTGCTTTTCAATTGAGTGTTGTAAAACCAAAACCAAAGTAATTACGATGGCCAGTCAGAAGAAAGGAAAAAAACCTTTGAAAGCCATGAGAATTCAAACTAAAACCAACCAATTAGCTGCGAATTTGATATCTCCTTCCAAATTAGTCATGAGAATTTTCTGTTATCTGACAATATAACAACTTCTATCTCATAAGTTTTTATATCCTTATTACCTGTATGCTTGAACATGTATTGATATTATGGGGAGAAGTTACAGGTTTATCATCAGTGGGAGTTAAAGGGTTAATGTTTCATTTGCTTTTTTAGTTTGTTTCTTGTGTTTACCTTTGCTTTATGAGTCCAATTGCATCTTAGATACTTCTTATTCTAAACAAAGAATTCTGTCATCGGCATTAATCTCTGTCTAAACTATACATAGTGATGTAAATAGCTCTGATAATTAACATATTATTAATGTTCTAAAATTAATGACCTTCATATTGGGATTAGAAAAATGATTGAAAACCAAAAAAAAAGAGAACAAATACCCTAATTACAACAAAAGAATTAAATACCAAGTATATCCCCCCAGATGGTAAGAATTGATCTAGTTGCCTTTTTAGAAACGATTTCATTAACAAATCTGGTAAGCAGCAGAGAGCAATATTGTATTTTATCCTGATACTATCACTTTACATTAAGTCCAGCAGTTTGACCACTTCATTTCAGTGCTGCCACAAACATTTTTTTGTGTCTAATAAAAACCTAAAGAAGCACATGGTACCACTATGAATGCTTAATTCAAATGGCAGTCGAAAGTTTTAATTTTTAACTCAAATGGGGCACATGAGTGTACCATTCAAGTCATTATAACTTCCACAACTTAGAAGGACAAAACCTACCCACTCATTCTAATCTTTGACTCTGCAAGATGTATTACATACACATTTAAGTTGTTCAAGAAATACAAGTCAGTAAAATGTTACTCTTAGTGTTAACTCTCTTAGAAGGTTAAACATTTTAAGTTACTCTGAGTTTTTTTTTTTTTTATTTATTTTTGAGTTTTTTTAACATTGAATCTAGAATATGTTATTCAGTTATGAGGTAACAGGATTTACTGGCTAAAGGAAGGACTAGGCTTTAAGTTAACCCTTTACCTACATGAGTAATGAAGACATAATTTCTCCTCATAATATCAATACAATATCAAGGAGACAAGCAATGGGCTAAACAACAATATCAATTAGGGGATTATTAGTTGATCCAATACCAAATTTTTCAAACTAACATCACAAGAACTATGAGTGACTGGCACCTAATTTTCCCTTAAGTGTTACCCTTGTGTATCCCCTAAAGCTCTTGATTGTGAAAAAAATTCTCCTACTCAGCACCTCAGGAAATGTTTAGAGAAAAGTATGGAGAATATACATACTGATGTTAGGGTGTGAAGGGTTAACCTTTAATTCCCACAAGTGATTAATATGAAACTTCTCCCTATAATATCCATAATACAATATTTAGCAAACAAGTAATAAGAATATTTAAACTTATCAGGTAGAAGCTGCTATCTTGATCTATAACCAAGTTCTCATAACTAATTTACACAAAAATGTGTAGCAGCTAGAGGAGAGAATTAACAATCAGATCTTGGTAGTTAAGGGTTAAAGCATGAATCATATCTGTCAGCAGAACATGATTATGAATTGTTGTTACTTTATTAATAAAGCTGAAATACTTAATTCCACTTTTAGGAGTGGAAATAAGCTTCCAATTGTTAATTTTACCCATGTCGATGAGCTACTGATATGACTGTTGATAAAATGTCTCCTGGACAACATAATCATAAGTCAATTTCTTCCAATTAAATATGATATAACAGACAAGCATTAGAACAGTCAGAGCCATTATGACCCTTACCTGATTTTCCATCATCTTCACACATCTCAGCCCAGGAATGAAACAGGGTAACTATTTTGCCCTCAGTCAGCATTGCCATAAAAAGTGATGCAATTAAAGCATTCTCATGAAATTCACCTGGAACTTTGAAATATTCTGGTTGTAAGGAGATCTCAAGAACAAACTCATAATTTGCCCTGTCAGTGTCAAACAAATGAAATGCTTTGACATACAGTATTGTGCAAAAGTAATGCAAACACCTGTCGACGAAATTCGGCGAAATTCCTGGCTTTTCGACGAATTCTTGACCGAAACGAAACTTCGACGACATTTCCGCGAATTTTCGAGGCATGTATTGTTTTGAACGGCTCGAACTTTCGGCGACAAATTCCTTGATGGCGTAAATGCGACTCGAAATTTCGAGCGAAAATTCGTTCTATGCGGCGAATTTTCGGGGCGAAAATTCGTTGTATTGTTCATTCTTCTCAAAAAGATTTGGTTGAATTTGTGGTTGGTTACTACACTATGTAATACTCCCATAAAATTTCCCGCTACGATTCCAGTCTCCGCGCGCCCTATATTGTTTGCAACCATGGCAACACAGGTTGTTGTGTCGATGCGTTTGGGATCATTTATGTACTCTACTTTTGATAGTAATCATGGCAAAAGTTTCAAATTATTCTAGAAATAGAATCGAGATCCTTCACAAGCAAGGCCTCCACCCAGCTGAAATACTGAAAGCGTTGAAACACGAAGGGTTGCTAGTGAGCTTTTCCAGTATTACGTGCATAATTAAAAAGTTGCGACTTACCGGTTCCGTGGCAAATTTACCTCGATCGGGAAGACCTCAAAAGCTGTCTACGGAAGCAAAAACTTTCGTAGATCAGCAAATGCGCAGGGATGACGAGACGACCAGCAATACGATAAAGAAGAAGCTGGAGAGACGTGGAATCTGCGTGAGTGCGTCCACTGTTCGTAGAGCACGCAAACAGCAAGGTTGGACTTTGCAGCGACCGCCTACTGCTAGCTAAGCCGTGACGCAAATAAAGTCAAGCGATTAGAGTTCGCACAACGCGTCCTAGAAAGTGGTGACACTTTCAACAACGTGATTTTTAGCGACGAGTGTTCGATTTCCCTTCAGGCGTATCGCCGCACTTGCTTTAGAATGGCAAATGAGCCCACAAAGCGAAAGCCGAAACCTAAGCACCCACTCAAAGTGCATGTCTGGGGAGAGATTAGCAGAAGTGGTGCCACGAAGATTTGTATCTTTGATGGCACCATGGACGCTGATTTGTTTTGCAGCATTTTAGAGACGACGCTGGTTCCTTTTATCATGTCAGAATTTACGAAAAAATAGAGCAATGTGACTAAACTAATTGTTGTTTTCAGTCGTCGCCAATTGGTATTCAGTGTTTTGTTGTGAAGAATAAATATTTCCGAACAAACATGGTGTTGTGATATCTGGAAAGCATGCTGCAATCAGCGATATGGGTGATGTCTATTTGCGCAGGGATCGAAAAAGAATAAACAAGGAACATTCTTCCCAATAGAAAACGTTTGAAAACACACTAAAGACATTCTCTGCTCCGTCTGGTTAAAAAGCGTTGTACTAAGGTTAATTTTAAAAACTATTGCAATCATTTGAGAGTTTATTTCCATGAAATACATGTCTCTTGGTCGGAATTGCTATTCATCCCGATTTACTTTCATTGTTGTAAACTGATCGAACTCTGAATTGGATATGATGGTTTAGGCCTCTTTAAACGTCGGAAACTGAAGTTGATGTGACGCTTGGGACAATTTTTCCGATTTACTTTCGTTGTCAAACACAAATCGAGCCCAGAATCGGGCGTGATGCTTTTCGATATTTTGACCTTTTGTCTACTGTGTTTAGCCTCAAATATGAAGTGTCTCCGTCCCAGTGACTGAAAAAGACTGGAAATACGTTTATATGTATATTTCGTGTTGCTTACATGAGTAGTAAACAAACTTGATTACTCGCGAAAGTCTATTGTGAGTTCGAAGCGAAATTTCGAACACTAATGATCGAAGAGATACTTTCCGCCGCGAAGTTTCGCTTTGAGGCGAAAATTCAACGAAAAAGCGCCCTTTGTTCAAACGAAATGTCGCTTAAGAGGCCTCGAACTTTCGATCGAATTTTCGCCCGAACTTTCGACGAAAGATCGTTAGAACAAATAACGAAATTCGCCGAATTCCGTTTGCATTACTTTTGCACAATACTGTACTCGGGATCTATAAGTTTCGCTATTTTCTTCATCCTGGACATAAAGAGTTCGTAATAGCGTCCCTTTGCTTCCATGTAGGCTGCGAAAAAGTGTTTGTCACTCTTGATACTGTCAGCATACTTTTGTAAGAGTGGATGAATGTCATATTTCCTCTCTTTTGCTTGTTTATCGACTACAGAAATTATTGCACTGGCCACAAGACCCTCTAGCTGTGCAAGAGCCTCTGATTGGTCAATACCGAGAACCTTGGAGGCTGTTGCGACAGAGAATGGCCCATGAAACAAGGAAATTACAACTGCAGTCACTTTTAAACTGTCACTTGGAAGTGTAGCAAACATTTCTCTGATTACAGATATCTGACCTGCATCAACTCCTTCTTCTTCAAAACTAACTGACATTTCTTCAGCATCCTCGTGCACTTTTGTTTTCTCTGGAGTAGCAACAACTCTAGCAATAAGGTCATCTGCAGATTTTCTTTCCTGGCGCAAAATAGCACCCATTCCTTTAAGAACAATTGGGAATCCTTTGGAGATGCCGATTAGATTATCTTTCTGGTGGACTTGAACACCAGTTGATCCCGCAGGAAAAAGAATCTTCTCTGAAGAAGACGTTTTTAGAGACTTCACTTTAAAGTTATCCACCAGTTTGGCATTTGTGAACTCAATCCTCGATGTGAGCAGCAGCTTTAATGCACATCTTTCTCCTTTGCCATCGAGTTCGAAAAGTTGTTCGAGGAACTGTACAAAGTCTGTTTTTAGGCTCTTCCCATCCATTTCTTGTCCTGTGGCAAACTGGTCCACATTATCGAGCAAGAACAGAACGGAATGCCCTCCACTTTTCAAATCTTTGACCTTATCGCGAATGTTTTTTACCGCAACATAGTTCAGGTCCACGAAACCGACTGGAACAGCAAGGTCAAGGGAACTAAGGATGTGGTAATACATTGCTTTCATACTATTAACTTCTCTAAGATCAAAGACTCGATAATTTCCTCGCCACTGTGAGCAAACTTCGTTGGCGAGTCTTGTCTTTCCAACACCGGAAGACCCAAACAAGTTCAACACTGGGACGTCTTTTAACTCCAGTTTTTCGGTGATCTCCTTAATGTCATCGTCCCGCCCTTGAAATTCCTCCTCTTTAACAGCTGGACGAGAGGCTTTAAACTTTCTTATAGCTTCTTTGATCAGTTCTTCTTTGCTCGATTTCGGAGCAACGTAGTCTTCGATTAGTTTCACTTTGCCTCCAGACACATAGCCATGCTTCGCAAGAAGTTGTAAACATTGCAATAAATCGTGACTTCTTAGCGAATTGAATTTGCCTCCATAGTTATTTTTCAAAGATTGCACAACATTTTCCGACTCTGTGCGGTCAAACATCGGAGATATGTCTTTGAACAGATGTTGTAATTGCAAACAGCTCTCTATAGCGACGGCCGCCATCTTAATTTGATTGCGGCTAAACATAGACAGCTCCTTTATTATGTCACGCGATCTCCTCACGCATCCGAAAGTGACACGAAAGTTCTATATTGGTGGCGTCTATGATTTCGATAATGATTGATTGCTGCCTGATGACGATGTAACTACTCGCTATAGTTCCACAACTCGCCCTTTTTAGTTATTTTGTTTTCATTGATGCATTTATCTACTCTTTTTGGCACTGAAATTAAACTGCCACGGGCACAAAAGATCAGAGAGATGATACACGTCACATATATTTCGCCTTGATACTCAATATCCTGCTTTAAGGCGCCACTTTTTTAATCTAAAAATTATGTCTTTTCTCTTTCAAAAGTATAATGCTGAACAAATCACCCATTTGTCAAAAAAAAAAAAAAAAAAACCAACTGCGGTGAGGATGTTTTAAGTAAGCATTATTTCAAAAGTGTCCAACATTCATTATCTTTCTTAAAGGTAGTGAAAACACTCACAAAAGATCGCATTCCCATCTAATACAAAGGGAATCTTGAGGCATTGAAATATGGAACGAATCTCTCCCGAAGGAATGTCTCTGGCTAGCGTGCCTTTTTAAGCCCAAAGGAAAAAAACACTTTATATTGTAAATTCCCAACGCAACGGAAGTAAGCCTCTCGGCTAAATTTTTCTTGGTTTTCCCGGTACCTTGTAAGTTATCACTTCTGACTTAAAACTATAACAATGTAAAGACAAGGAACTTGCATAAAACCAAGCAACTTAAATCCGAACGTAGTAAATTTCTCCGAAGTTGACAAATGTTTGAACAGGTGAAGAATGTGATGGCTAATAAAGAAACTACTTGCGGACCTAAAAGAACTCTGCCAACGATTTCGTTTAGTTTAATACCGCACGATGTTGGGATTTTGATGACTTTTCAACAGAACAGCAATTCATATCGTTCCCCTTACGGGACTGACTCGAGCTGTTTAGATGTAATGAGAATCCCGTCAGTTATTTGCGGGCGATCCTCTTCGGATATTTTTTGTCAAAACGAGTAAGGAACTCGTCAGGATGCCAGAAGAGTGCATGCAAGCTCCTCAATAATCTCCTGATATTAACTTTTTGCTTTATTGCGGGTATCACCGCGACCATACCGTCAGAACTACCATCGCCATGCCAGGGACGTTATCATATTTTATTGTTCAAGGAGTTGCCTCACAAATCTCTTCATTTGAAATGATATTCGAATCTACTACGTAACTTAGCCAGACGGATTTCAACTCAATTGTTGTACGCAGTCACTGGGTGCTTTGATATTCCTGCCGCAGTCTATCTTTTGGTCAAAAGTAACTCTTGATGATTGCTGAAAATTGAAACTTAGGGATGACGCAGTTCGAAAAAGCCGTATCTTGCGTGACAAATACTGAGTAACCAAATGGTTCCGATTGCCGGATTGTACGGGGCAGGGGTAATTTCCCTTCATTAAATGAAAATGGAGATGAAACTCGTGAGTTGGGATTTCATACAAGCAATATTCCAGAGACAGAAAGAGGCATGCCCTCTCGATTGCAGAGATTTGGAAGTTCCACCCAGCGTCCTAATAACCGTGCCACTAACCTATTGCTACTTCAGTAAACATTGTGAAATATTCTTAGAACCGAATTAATATGTAAACTCCTTAATACGAGTCAATGTGAACGTATTGACGGTCAAATGAAATTGCGAACGTCTACAACATGTGAAACACAGTTACCTGCGTTAGATATGATAAACTGCCGATAGGAGAGAGATCATCTTAGTAAAAGCGGTTGATTCGTGAAGACAAGCAACCTGCTTAACACACCTTACTTCCTTGAGTTCACGACACGCTTAGTTTGTTCGGAAAATGGTTCACATGTAAGCATAGCCAGCTCCCAATTCTCCACGATTACGTCTCTTTCCAAAGGTTTCGACAGTAGTTTAAACGTTCTCAAGTTTCTCATATACATTTTCGAGAAGACGAAAGCTAACCACCTCGCGCTCGAATGTTTAACCAGCATCTTCAACCCTACTTAAGTACTGTTAGTTTCGAAACGCGTAACTTGTGTACTTTTCTGTTACGCTTTTTTCGGTCTATTATTTCTTCGTTGGTCAATGATTATTACTTAATAAGTTTTTTGTTTCAATCATTTTCATTTAAGCACATTATATTTCATATTTCAACGCTATAAGTTGCTGTCGACACCACCAATTTTGTCTGGTATTCACGTACGACCGCTATCGGCGATTTATCTACAATCATTAGGAGCTAACCGAAAGTAAGTTTTTCTTTATTCTCATTTAAGATATTTCCCTTTTTTTTTGATACGTAAATCGATTTATTTCTCGCTTTCAGTTCACTTTATAATCGCTTCATTGTTGTAAATTAGGCTGGTGTTACATTTCTCAGGGATATTTTCTTAGTTTAGTTTCTGCCGGATTTTCTTTTAGATCGAACCACACAAATTCAGCTACAACGTTACCATCAATCATAACTACGCTATCTTCAATCTTTACTTCGCCCTCTTCATCTGCGATTTCACACCGATCTCCTTATTTTCGTTTGTAATTTTGATTACGTACTTCATATGATTAAACCGTGATTTATACTGTGCGTTCGGATTGTCTTCTCCGCTACATGATAACCTTTGAAAGTTACACCTACGTTATCTTCTATTAACCTTATCTTCTATTATAATTAACCTTCAGTTATCAGTGTCACACAGTGCAACTGCCACTTTGACATCTCAGGGACAGGGGATGAGGACACTGAGGCAGAAATATTAAAACTTGTTCATTTCAGATGACAATTACCAAGCGACATGATTGGAATACACAGGTTCAATAACAGGCCATCAAACTAGGATAAAAGTTGACTTTTCATGATCATATGCCAAGTATTCCTTTCATCAACTGATTTTTCTGTGCTTCATGGCTTCAACTACCCTGCTCCTATTTCAGTTTTTAAATATAATCTCACTCTTTAAATAAAAATGTACACAGGACACAACATTACCATTTTAGAATAAGCTTTATACTCAGTATGCAGAGTAATTCTCATATATTTCAATTTAGCAGTAATTTTCTTTTACTTTATCGATTCTACAATGATGTTGGCTTTTCTAAGTACCTAAAAATACAAAACAAATTAAAAACTATTAAAATCATAGCATTCAAAATGAGCACAGGGACTTCCATTATAATGTTTTTTAAGTTTCCAAAAGCCCAAAAGTCAGCTTACAACATTTTTCATCCCACAAAAAAAGTGAGTGGGTTCCCTGTGACGTCTTCTGTCCCTGAACTTTGCTGCAACAGGTGCAGTAATCCTCTCTTTTCAAGTCCCTACACTTAAATTTTCTTTGCCTGCAACAAAAATATATCATTAAACAAAAGGGAAACTTCAGAGAGAGAAAAAAATTAAATACATGATAAATTTTTAACTGATAAGAATCCCTGTTTTACTAACATCTTGTCCCATAGGATAAAAAAAAAACCCACTCTTTGCTGAGAACTTAGCCCCACTCACTTGAGTTTACTGAACTACACTTAAGAAACAAACAGTAGAGTTGTTTGTCTAACTATTTAATCACTTGGCTCACTTTTGTAGTATTCACTCAGTACAACAGATGTGCCAGAGCTACTTTTATCACATGGAAAAGAATGTTTGATTTATGATGGGTTTTATGCTAGTAAATTAGATAATGTTATTTGTTGTTGCAAGGTGATAATCAGAATAAAAGTCAATCAATTTCTGTAATTAAATTATGATTTGTCTCTTGATAGCAAGAATTATTCTAAACATCTGTCACTGGGCAGAAGATAGCTGTCATCCCTGAAAGGACACTTTTGTGCCCCCCTTTGACTATCTTGTTATCACAATTGAGTTTGTGGTTTGAAATCTAACTTCATGATGGTACCCAAGCTAATTAAACACACTTACATCCAATATGGAAAACTCTGTGTTTAAGATTTGATTTAAGATGAAAAGCTCAGTTATAGAAGGAAAATGTTTCTTTTGTTCTTAAAATCTTATCAGAGAACGCTGACAAACCATAAACAGTAGTCTGTTCATAAACATTTTTCTTGCGTGTTGAAAAAGATAATAAACATACTGTAATAGCCTCCATTTGGTGCAAAAAGAGGGAAGCTGCAATATAACTTATAATATAAACATCAGGCATGAGCATCTATTTTTGTAACAAAAGACATGGGTTTTCTATCAGTTGTGTTGTCATCCATTATTTACTGAGCAAAAAAGAATCAGAACTGTAGGCAACCAAACATCTCTTCAGGACAGATTTATTAGGTAATATCTTATCATCAGTATATATCAAGAAGCAGGTATGCAGGTCAGGGGGAAAATTATAAAGAGGAATACAAGATGTCGGAGACTTGCTGAGCAAATTTTGATAAGCTGGAGGAAACAACAGCATCATTGTTTCAGAAAAAGATACATGAAAGAGAAAAAAAAAACGCAAAATTTGTGGTTAATGAGAATCACAGTCTCAGAGGTACTCATGATGGCCAAAAATATTTCAATGGTCCAAACCAAAACATGCCCTTTAATATACTTCCAAACAAAACAAAAAAAGTGAAGAATCGAAGCAAGGTGAACAATCAAAGTGGTTTCTAGAATAAAATTACCAATAATAGGTTGCTTCAGAAAAAGACAAACATGGAAACAAAATAAAGGAGAACAAAAGACACTAACAAATGTTGTATGAGATCCTAGGAGAAATGGCTGGTTAAAGACAATGGAGAACGATTTAAAGTGATTAAGAAAAATGAGGCAGCAAAGTTAAACTATAAACCAGAGTAAATAAAATTTACAGCAAAGAACTTATACAAATGATACACACATAGGTAAATTAAGCGAAAAAGTTACAGAAAATCGATGAAAGTAACAGACTTGAAAACAAAAGAGCTCAATGAAAATGCTATGGAAAGAAAAAATATACAAATTTAAAACAAATTTTGTCAATGTGATTTTTGGCAGCAACAATGTG